TTGAGCTTAGATAAGTTGACTGGAAAAGGTCGCGGCCTGTGAAAATGTGAGCAAAATATCAAATTTGATGCTTATGTTACACTACCTCCGACGATGCGGCCAGGCGGGCCAAGAGGTTGTGAAATGAAATGGCTGCGAGATGGAGTATTGTCAAGAGGGAAAGAGCCGGGGCACGAGAAATCAGCTCCCGAGCCAGTTGGATGAGTAGGTGTCTCAGTTATTTCGGAGATCTTGGAGCTCAGTCCAAGACCCGGCGTATTTGGGTGTGGGAATGCAAGCACGTTGCTAATTTCCACAGAGTACTGTCGATGCGATGAGCAGCTATCAACCGCACCGCCCGTTGAGTCACAAGTCGGATTAGGCTGCTGCGTACTAGTGTCGTTACACTCACCTGGTTGCAGGTATTCAGGCGGAGTAGATGACTCGGGGATGTATTCAAAAAGCGTGGCGTGCGCCTGCGAGCGAGAGATTGTCGATCTAGCGACTAGGGGTAGAGAAGAATCGGAGAGAGATTGGGGTGGAGATTCGGTCCCGTGGAAGCAGCCTGAGGCTTCGATGTACTGGGATTGAAGAGAGTCTGCTATCTCTGAAAGGCCCTCTTGTCGCACAAACAATGATGAGGAAGCTCTTGAGTAATTACCAGAGTCAGCGTCACTCTGCTCAGTCTCGTTGTCGAAGGGCGTGCCGTTGCGGTCCTCTGGGCCTATGCTTGCTTCTGATGACGAAGAAATCTCGATGACACTTGGCGATTGAGTGATCCTCTCCCGTGTCGATTTCTTATTAAGCTCGCTTTGTCGCCGAGCTTTCCGCTTGTTCCAGACCTGTATAGCAAGCTCGCTCGCGTTCTCTTTGGGTTCCTAAACAAGCAAAGCAAGCGCATATATTAGCACAAGCTCGCAAAACATTTCTTTCGTGCCTTTTATGTCCAGAAATTCCAAAGACACTCACCCAAGTTGGATCGTATGGACCCTCCCAATCAATAAGATACTCGGTGTCTGTTTCACGGAGGATACACTTTATAGGCCACTCCTGGTCGTCCGAATCACTACCGTCGCTGCTTTCACTGCTATCGCTAATAACCACAGTTGTAGCTGGAGGCCTGTCAGTATTCTTTCTGTGCTGACTATCGAGTTTCGGCGGGTAAGGCTGCTCCCGAAACATCATGTGCGGGCGATTGGTCTCGGGGAGATGTTGGACAACATGACGGGGGTGAAATGAGAGTGTAGGTTCAATACTCAAGTTTAAGCTCACACGAGCTGCATTGATCCACGACACATACAATTTTCAATTCTGGGAAACATCTAACACTTCCCAAAACAAAGCGAAGGTATATGAAAGAGGGTAAATGCCCGGCGCGGCGCGACGGACGGACGGATAGTGAGCCCGCTTCACGTGATAACGCTTATCGGCTGTAATCGACAAGATTTGGGGATAGTGACATGTTGGTCTACGTTCTAGGCTTATTTGTCTATATAATAATTCAAAGGTGTACAACTATTGTATTTCTAATTGATATAGATTACTTTGACATTGTAGGTACAGGTTGAGCAACAATAAATCAATGATCATCTTGTTGTCTCTTCCACTCTTCAAAGTCGAAACCAAGCTCTGCTAGATTCTTGATCTCGCCTCGCTCGTCACCTCGCTGTATAAAAGCACGCCTAATATCTGGGAAATTGGCTCGCATCCATCTTTCCCGCTCACCCCACCGAGTACCAAGTTTACCTTGTCCATTGTTAGACAGTCCAGGTCGTGCCTCGGCCTTTTCCGCCCAGTCGTAGAGAAAGTTAAGGTAGTCAGCATCCATGGGGAATGGAAGCAGGTGAAACCCCTTTCCATCTCCTTTGGCATCAATCTCAGAAGCCTCCCATGCCTTCATCTCATCTTTTGGTGGAAGTGTAAGCCGTGCGGACCACACACGAGAGAAAACAGCAGCGTGGTTCTCAGCCATAGGGAATGGAATAACCCGCTGGGAAAGCACTGGGAAGACGAGAGTCGGGTGGTCTATGTAAAACAACTGCTGGTAGACATTCATTGTTCGCCAGCCGTGGGTCACAGCTGGTGGGTTGAGTGAAGACAGGAAAGGATATGAATAGAAATAACCGGTGCAGAAAACAATGGCATCAACATGTTCCTCAACGCGGCCATCCGCAAACTTTATACCTCTTTCATGGGTTGTCGAAGGAAGAAACTCGACTATCTCCGGACAGATGATTTTATCGCCATTTGGGGGTGCAGCCAAGTAGGATTCAGATAGTTGTGAGAGTAAAAGTTTGCCTTGGCTTACTTCATTGATTTGCGCACCAATGTCAAGCCCGGAAGCAGAATTTCCTACCACAACTACTTTCTTCCCTTGGAAAGGTTCTGGGCAGTTGTAAAACTTGGAATGAGAGATGACACCGGGGTATGATGCATCCCAGGCTTGTATTCCCGAGATGTCGGGTATATAAGGGACCGTGAAATGACCGCTTGCAACCACCACAGCATCGTACGTGTGAGTTGTGTCAATGCCGGTTGGAAGGCTCTTTGTTGTTAAACTCCAGGTACTTAGAGTTTCATCCTTGAGTTTCACTTCTAAGACCTGTGTCTCAAATTGAATGAGGCCTTTGATATCTTCGGCATAATCTTCCAGGTATTGTCTCACTGTCCGGTGCTTGGGGAAGAGCTGGGATTCCAATGGGAAGGCTTGATCCGAGTAACGCATTAACTCCTTAGGGATGTTGGTTTCCAGTCGATCGTATAGCGGGGACACGAATGTTGCTTCACGCCCCTCAGCAGAATCAACCCATACTGGCCTCTCAACTGGCTCGTGAGGGGTTAAATGTGGGACAGTTATTGAAATCCCCTTCTTAGAGGAACTCGGAGTATAGTTCCAAACTCCTCCCACGGAGCTTCTTTGCTCAAAGACCGCGATTTGATCGAAACTTTTTTCGGCGAGCAGGTATCTGAGCGAGTCAGCATTGCCATGTTGAGGGCGAGTATGTAACAACCCCGCTTACTTAACTGCAGCAAGGCCAGACGGCCCTGCGCCGATGACAGCTACTCGACGAATGGGGTTTGTGATTGCCATGCTTTCAACGAGCTCTTGATAGTTACGAGTAACCTATGTAATTTGAAATTCGAGTTCAGTTGCGAGATACAACTTAGAAGTGGCCTGATGTTTAGTGCTTTCACCATAGTGGAGCTACGTTAGTGTATTCCGTACTACTACCTCATTTAGCTGGTTATGTACCCGTTTTACGATAACCCCACTTTATCGGAGAAAGCACCGATTCAATTTACACAGTAAAACCCTCCGCTCTCACGATATCGTTTCTCTCTTGTTAAAGATCGGGTAAGTGCAATAGGCCTATTATAATGTTTGATTATGATGGCAGTATCGTACTAAATTAGCCCCCCATGTAGTCCTAGTTGTCAAATATATCCATTTTACTACCCCAATTCATAACCTGCTGAGCGCAGCTATATGGAGCACTTTCATCTGGACGGGTAAATATAAAGAGTAAGTTTGTCTTTATACGAAAGCCCCAACATCAAGTTTATATATTCCTCTTCCTGTAACACTACGTGATATATCACCTAAGTGTTATGGAATCCCGAGGTCTCCAAAAAATTCCGTCTCGTTGTCCTCCCAGGTAACATTCAAGATCCCCGGGTAGAGTCTACTTCAGATCGATGATATATGGTCTAAGCATTATTTCGTCTGAACACCCCAACAAGATTAGCTGGCATTCCTATACCGCCATCCACACGCGCAATGCAAATAGTGCTAACAATCATACTTCTCCGCCATTCTCGATCTCCAATCCTTCTCTCTTGCTGATTTCTATGCACTTGATCTTTGCTTAGACTCTCAGATGAGAGATCTTCATCTCCCTGGAAGCCAACTTTTCAGCCCCCACCCCTTTTCATAAGACAGCATCGCTCCATACTCGCAAAACTAGAGAACCACATTCTCGACAAAATGTGACAGCTCCACAGATGCCATTGACCAATATATCCGTATTTTTCAAGAAACGCTTTTAGAATCATTAACAGGCATGTAGGTCACATTTTCCAAAATTTAGTAAAATACAAGGGTGGAGATTGCAGATATGTGAGGATGCGAATCCATAGATCCTGGGAAGTTCAAATATTTCCCAGGCTCGGATTTAAGGGTCTTATAACGACCAAATAATCGGAAATCCTCAATCGATCATATACTGCCTCTTGGCCTTCTGATGACGATGGAAGTCTAGGTCCCACATAATTATGATACATAGTTGTCATATCTAACCCCGTAACGGTGAAATATCAGAATCTCATAGATGGAGTGACATACGAGAGGCGGAGTTGGAATTACCTAAATAGGAAACCTAGATGATCTCAATTTCCGTTTTGGGATATTCAGCCATCCCGCACAAACTATTCTTATACCACATAGTATATTCCAACTTGCCATCCACATGATCTCGCCTGGGGATTGAAGGATAGCCCCCCGCGACTTTGTTATTGCCGATCAGTTTGTGAGAAATATCCCAGCCAGGCACGTGTCAAATATATAGAGGCAAAGGCGAGTCTACATAAACCCTGTTCAACAAGCCTTAAATAAATAGAGCCTAGCTCGTCACTACCAGCTCCTACGAGTCATTTGATCCTAATTGATATATTAATAATATAATAATGTCTCCGCAAGCTCAGCTGAAATTAAGAAATACAGGAGTCGTACTAACCCATGGATGTATCACCGACCAACCAACAATCCAAGGGGGGTAATTTTGGGTTTCACAATACGTAAATTACACCCTTCCCCTCATGATTTTACTGTACCATTACCTGACGGAGCTTCAGCTTGTCAACTCTTTGTTGCACCAAATATTCCCTTACATGTTCCTTTCAGCCCACGCTCTTCTTTAGTCGCAATTTTTTTTTGATCCTCTTTATATTATCTCAACTATTCTTCTTGTTTGATATGTGGACAATTTGACAAAGCAACAGTCGGGCTTGGGAAAACCGGCGCAATGAATGCGATCGAGCAGTCCCCCGAGCAGCTTCCCGCGCCGAATGCGCTGGCGCATTTGACTAGAGTTCCGATCGCTCAGCTCTCTCCCGACATTGAGCAAGTGGCCGAAAAGTCTTTTCTTGCAGCTGTGGCACTTGTGTGGCCATACTCCTCTTCAACCAAGTCTGTGAGCCTTCTGTTAGCGGAGCCGGATTTCCGCCTGAGGGGCGCCAAAGGACAAATCAAGGCCACGTTCCATGGGCGGGTCGCAGAAAAGGTCGCAGAATCGCATATCGGAATTGGGGATACTGTTTGTCTGGCCTTGAAAGATGTCAAGTTTGTCAGCAATGACAGCGTCCAGCAAACTCCGGGAAGGTCAGTCGCGTGGGATGCGCACTGGGAGAATGGCGTGTTTCTCGAGGTATGTTACTCCCAAACTGGATATGTGTTTCACAGCGACTGACTCCTGTCCATCTAGATCTACCGATCTTCCCAGCCTCCGTTGATAATATCAGTTGAGCCGCAAGTGACAGCACCGCATGAAACCGAACTCGCACCGCCTACAACTCCTAGTGGGAAATCTATCAACCCCGAACTCAACCTGCCTTCTAGTGCACGCCTCTGGGGATCACCGGTATTCCTTGAGTCTGCCCGAACCTCATTCGGAGGAACAATCCGTCCCACCTTCCATGCTTTTGCGGAGGAAGATGGATTTGTTCCCGGGAAAGGTAGAAAAAGGCCGAGGTATAGCCTTCACAGGGAAGATTGGCGTGTTATCAATGAGCCAGAAAGCCCCCATGGGCAAGAAGCCCCTGTGGATTGGGAACAGGCTTTGATACAATCTATCGACCAAGAGCTCGACGAGGCAGATTTGGCGAGTGAGCCTTCAGATGAGCCGATGCCGGATACTGCACAAGCTCCAACATTCACAGCGGATGCACCACAAAATCCGCTTCCGGTGTTCGTGAAACCTTCCCTTGAATTGACCGGGGGTATCCTTGAAAGGCCTTCCGGCGAGTCAAGTGCTTTGACCCATGAACAATTTGATAAAGATGGAACACCCTTTCATCTGCCAACGGATACACCGCAGATTCGACCCATCCCTTCTCCGGGGCTCCCGATCCCTTCGCCCCTTGTATCTAATCATGTTGGCTCGTCTGGCTATCCCCTGCCATGGACTGCTGCGCCCACGCAGTCCCAGGAGAATCGATCTGTTCCTGTGGAAATGGGCACCATAGCAACACCCGAAACATCATCTATCGAGACCCCTCAAACCAGCGCCATTGATCCCATTCATACGGAGACAGTGGAACGAGTTGATCCGGATGTTGAAGCCATCCAGCAAGAACATGTCTTGGACGCCGGCTTTGGCTTCCGCGATGATTCGGCATCATATCCAAACGTAGAAGGTCTACCAGAAAAACAAGGAGTTGGGATCATTCACTCCGAAGTTATTGAGGAGTCAGATGTTGATGCTAATGTGATCATCAACACTACTGGCGACGAAAATCAAACGTCAAATGAAGCAGAGCAGAAGCATACCGTCGATATTAACCACGACCATCCAGCACCACTTTCGGGCTCGGCAGTTGAATCGGATGACTCCCATGATGTCAGCGGTGAATCTACTGTCGCTCAAGTTGATATGGGCACCGAAAACCCCGCCGACGAAGCTCAAGCATCAGATGAAACAAATGACGAACGTCTCATCGATGTCAGTGGCCTATGGCGCGATGCTTCAGCATCACCTTCGCGCTTGGGGGAGGGCCTGGAAGATGAATCACTTGAATCCTCGCAAGGGATCGATGGCTCAGATATTGCCGAAGCTGATCTTGGCATTGAAAATGTTCGCCATAATGTTGGATCTCACGAGGAACATTCTGAGCCAGAGCCTCAGTCCATCAACTATCCACAATCACCCACCACCTTCGACCAGGATGCAATTGATGCCCTTGAGAGAATGATAACCGCTCGAGATGAGGAAGTTGAAAGGAAGAGAGACATAGAAGATGAAAAAGAAATGGATTACGGCATCGATCGTTCACCCAGTCAAGGATACAGTGAAGAAAATCATGGAATGGCCAAGGATGAAGAAGCGTACTATGCGGAGTCAGTGGATAATTATGATTCACAAGATGAATATGAAAACGAGGATTACCCTTGTGATCCTCGATTGGAATCGCGATTGGACCAAGACGACTTCAGTGGTGAAGAGTCTGAGCAGGAACAGAACCTGCCTTCGCAGACCGGAACCCAAGAAGTAATCGTGCTCGACAGTGACAGTGACGATGAGCCTGCTTCCAATTATCCGGTAGCCTCAACTTCGCAGTCAACAGAACGAGAGGACCATTCACACCGCTTCGAATCCGGATATCCTGATGTCTCTCCAGCTACAGCTGAGTTTGCAACGGGTGTACAGCAATATCCAGAGCCGTGGTATGTCGGTGGAGAGGATGGCTATGACAGAGCTGAGGAAGAAGATTCAGACATCGATGAGCGCCAAGAGAGCGAGGAAGATGACGGGAGCGGAGACGGCGAAGAGCGTCAATACAACCAACAGGATGATCGAGTTCACGAGAGTGACATGGAGGACGACGAGCCGACCCCAGACCACTATGAAACGGCCCATCCATCTGAAGTGGCATCACCCAACCTTGAACAGGATGAAGACAAAGAAATGGACGACGCGGAACTCATCGAAGAAGCTGACAACGACGAGCATCATTCTGCGGCCACAGTTGGCGCAGAGAAAAGTGAAGAGCGCGAATACGATGAACAAGACGACCGAGTTCACGAGAGTGACATGGACGACGACGAGTCGACCCCAGACCACTATGAAACACCTCATCCATCTGAAGTGGTATTGCCCAGCCCTGCGCAAAATGAAGATAAAGAAACAGAAGAGGCGGAGCTCATCGAAGAAGCCGATCACGACAAATCTTACACTGCGGTCAACCTTGACGCAGAGCAACGTGAAGAGAGCGAGTACAATGAAGAAGATGATCGAGCTCATGAGAGTGACATAGATGATGACGAGTCGACCCGAGACCACTATGAAACAGACCATCCATCTGAAGTGGTATCACCCAACCCGCCCAACCCTGAGCAGGACGAAGATAGAGAAATGGAAGATGCGGGGCTCGCTGAAGAAGCCGACGACGAGGAATATCATGATGCAGCCATAACTGACGTAGAGATGGATGTGCCAATTGATCAGAACTCTGATGAGGGGCAACCAGGCAATGTTGATCCAAATTTGCTTGAGATGCCTGAATCTCATCATGAAGCCTCATTCTCGGAAGTCGAAAGTCATGCTGGGCAGTATCTCCCTGTGGACGGACAATCTGATTTGCTTATCCCTTCATCTGCTGGAGATGCCATGGCCGATTTTTTGTTGAAACATGAACATGAACCGACTGTCGAAGGACCCGAAGGACCTGAGGCCCTTGGTGGTCGAGTCTCGCCATCCATTGGGCCTTCATTTGAGCACCAACTCTTGACCCCAGACCTCACCCAGGAAAATGCATCCACACGTGAGCTCGTTCGTGATATTGAACTTGAAACTTCATTCACGATCGAAGAAAATGACGCCACTGCTGGTCTGGATAGAATATCGCATCTTGTTGGCTCGTCAGAGTCCAACCAAGATGATGGTCTTGAAGCAGAACCTATAAAGGATATCCAACGAGAGATGCACGTTGATGGACATGATGATTCCATGCCTCCTTCAAAACTCGCTGAAGCCGCAGAACCCCCAGCAACGCCCGAACCTAGCCGCTCTCTGGAGGTTGTGATCGGCGCCGAATCCCCAAAAACACCGGCAGCTCCCGCTGAACAGCCCCCGGGACCCGATCGTAATGCCTCTGGACTGCGCAGCAAGCTTTCCTACTTCGCCCCGCTTGCTACACTCATTGATCACTACAATGCATTGGTCGATACCATCTCAATCGTGCACGAGGCTTCACCGATAACCCGAGCCAAATCCGGTTCGAAAGACTGGTTCGTGACTATCCAGCTTACCGACCCCTCTATGGCTGGCACGACTCTTCGTGCTCAGATTTTCCGGCGCCACAAGGCCTCAATGCCATCATTGGCAGAAGGCAGCGCCATACTCTTACGCGACTTTAAGGTTCGGAGCCTCGATCATACCGTGATGCTTGTCAGCGTCGACTCCAGCGCATGGGCAGTATTCGACGGTTCGGGTCCCGATGCCGAGACGAACGGACCCCCTGTCGAATATGACGCGCAGGAGCGTGCCTACGCCTCTGGCCTACGTCGATGGTACTATGAGGTTGGCTCAGATAGGGTCGCAGACCATATGCTCCAGGCAGCTATTGAGAGCGACAGCCAGGAGCGCGATATGACACCAAGCAGTCAAGTGCCGAGTGAGTCAGGGAGTCCGGATTCCAGGCGTGGCTCTCAGCGCAAGCGCAAAAGCAACCGAAGAGTCACCATTCATGAACTGCGGGATGGCACTCGTTACACCGAGGTCGGTTCTCCAAACAGTGGAAGCAGCAGTGTCCACGAGCTACGGGATGGCACGTTGTATGCTAATATTTGAAATGGCTGTGTTAATATCTTGATACTTGGCGTGGCATCTGTCGCAATTCCCATGTACCTACGAATTGAAATAAAACAATTCACATGAACAAATCAAAAATTTTCGCGAGTACTGTGTACTCTCTCATATATACATATCGGCATCTCTATTCTTCAGGAACAAATGCAGCACACACACCTGTCCGTATCCTTAACAACTAACCAGACAGCACCATTTTGCCTTCACTTTGATATAACATCACCATCTCGTTCTTCATCACTTGATCACTCTCTGGCTTCTCATTCTGACCATTCCTATATAAAGATAAGAGCGGCATCGTCTCATTCTTCCAAGTGGGAATCCTAGCTGTGCGGGTCTTCCAAACAGTGCCTATCAACGTGACAAGGCCTAACAGCCACACCAACACCAGAAGAATGATCCCCTGCCAATGAATGGAAATGTGTGTCCTGGCGGACATTGCCTGTCCAGCAGTAGTGACGTTTGAAGGCGAGGCATTATCCCGAATAGCCTTTGACATAGCCTGAGCAACATTATCCATAGCACAGTGCATTTTATTGATAGTTCCAACGGCGCAACCCGTCATGTTCGCAAGTGTGATGAACTGCATCAAATCTGCCGTCGCGTATTTATATTGCTTGCTGTCAGGAGTGAAAGTAAAACCGAAAAGATCGAGCCGCGCTCGACCAGCGAAGAAGTTTTGGAAAAAGTATCGGATCGCTGCGAGCGAATTCCTCTGTATCACAAAGTCTTTGTTTGGCTCAACGCCCATCTCTGGTCCCAAGGGGGATGCATGTGGTAGTTCTTGTGGATCGAGTTGTCGAAAGATCCATTCTTCGAAATGCCCAGTGTTTCTTGGTGATAAACGCCCTTGGTGACGTTCGCGCGGAAGCTGTGCACAACAGGTTCAATGCTGCATTCTATGGCCTCCCATTTGAAACCCTTCGAAAAGGTGTTTTTCCATGTCACTTGGCCTTCTGGTAGGTCATGTGGGGCGATAAGTTGGATAGCAGGGATGAGGCTTTTTGTGTAGATGAAACTGTCTGTCGATCCTATCACGATCGGGGTGCCCTTGTATGTATTCAACTGGAAAGCCGCGGAGATATTATTGGTGTTACTAGTGCCGCCTTGAATCGAAACAGAGCACATCGGCTCGATTGAAGCAGGTCTTTTGACGTCTTGGTCACTGCATTCGGTTTTCAATCAGTCTGTTATGTTCGTGCAACTCGCCCTCATTTCCAGTGTAGCTATTGGATCCCAGGTACAGTTTCCTGAGCTACAGGTGTGCCGCGGGATGGACCATGGTTTTGACGTGTCGCTGTTGAATATCGAGTTGTAAATATTGGCTTTCATTTCCGCATCAAGGTAAAAGGTTCCTATACACTTGGGTTAGGGACATTCAGATCAAAAGAACACCACTCAACGTCTTATCAGTTTCCAATATAGGACCTATAGCATCGTATTTAACGTTGCTCGACACGATTGCAGTCCCCGAGGAATCGGCAATGAGTTTAGGGTAGTAGTGGATCAAATTTTGGATGAAAGGGTCAAAGGCAATGGCGAGGATAACGACTAGACTGCCCAGGGCTGCAAAATGTCTATATAGTATCATAAGTCCCTAGTCAAGACGTGACCGCAAGAATACGCAGATACATACCTTGCCCGTAGTTTCCAAACTAAGCCCGCACAACCATATATCCCGCGGCTAGCCCCATCGAAGGCACCCAGATCAACTAAGGGTCGACTCTTTCGTGTGAACCATACCCACTTCAGCTGTCCTATTCCCTCGCTGATAGCGGATAAGACACACCCTTTCGAGACAGTACTTAACCAGGAGATTACCGAGTTCAGTGACATTAACCTCCAGGCCGGTTGAGGATGACCATCATATTGTGTCAAGATCACAACGATCGCGACTAGAACACCCGAGGATAAGACCATAGCTAGTACCTCCCAGATGAATATGTTCGAGATAAGCTGCCATATGGACGGATTTTCTCTGTCCTTTAGTTTGGTTTTCTGGTCTGCCGTGCCGTGCACTAGAGGTTCATTTACTAGTTCGGGATGAGGCTCAACAGGAAGGATCCTAGGCGATTGTGTGGGTGTGTTCGCCTCTTGTGCATTTTGTGCAATTTCATTTGAATGTACAGGAGACACAGGTGACTCTTCTGGTTCTTGATTCCGGACCATTTCGAAGAGATACTGGACGGATCACAATGGCAACAAGGGAAAGATGGTCAGTCCTAGGGCTTGGGATGTGGCTCAACAGTGGCACATCGATGTACGGAGTCGATATGGACTGTACCAAAGAGGATTGTAAGGAGCAGACCGGATGCCATTAATATTAAGCAATGCTGTGCCGCCATTTCATCTCTTGGAATTTGGCCCCGTTTGGCCCCCATATTGATAAACAGCCTACATGAGGCAAGCTACATGAGGCTATGCGGGGCTATGCTTGAGAAAGTGAGGATCGTCAGTCCAAGGCGCTTCGAGGGTCTTCTCTTCAGGGATATTTCGGACATTAAATCGAATTGATGAGAATAGATCGAGCATGGTATGCATCATATTGGATTCCCAACGTAGAAGATTGCGAAGAGAGACAGAACTGGAGGATTGATGTTGCAGTGCTGGACCCTTGCCAAGGAGTCGATCCACCGTAATTTCCCACAATTTTCTTTTTGTAAACAACTTGAACTTTAGAAACTATGAAACTCGACGATATCAAGCCGACATATATCAATTCTAGGAAAAAGATTTTTGTATCTACCTACTCATTCATATTTCTTTTGATATCCGCCAACAGATATATATTATAAAGGTAGTAACTAAGTCAAAGAAGTCATATATACCTAGATAACTAGATACCCACCTAATGCTCTATTTCTCGAGTACATCCCCGGCCTAGAAACGATCACCTTGGAAAATCTCACGCCACAGTGGGTAAAAAATTTCCAAGAGGGGATTCGCCAGATACATAAAGCGCTAATGCGGCATAGAGATCCAAAACCGCGGAATATGATGATTGTCGCGGATGGTTCAGACAGCTGTTTGGCTAGACTTTGATCGAGCGCACACATACGACAAAGATCGAATCACCATGGCGGAAGACCTCATTAAGGGGGAGAAAGCAATTGTCATGGAATTCAAAGATGCCATAGTGAGTAAGCTGGCTATATGCACATAGTTAGTGAACGTTTTTCTAATGCTTATCAATAGGCTGCAGGTGTCGTCAAGGGGGAGCTTGATGAAACATACTTGTTTTACTGCGGCTCGTGATACATAGTCATAGTCCTTTTCCAAATACGATGTGAGAGAGACAAGGATCTAACCCTTGCAACTGAAGGTGGCCATACCCATGTAGACATTTGAACAGACAATTGAGTACCGAAAATGGGGGTCTATATACATAATGCCAGTGTTGAGAGATAGATAGTGAAGGTCTAAATTCATCAATGGTATATATAGTGATGCGTTATCATAAGAATCATGATTTTATATCTTAGACTGCTTCTCTGCCGCAAAATATTCCGCGCTCACAGCAGCCTGAATCAACTGATTGGCAATGGCCGTAGGAGGCGGCAACCGCAACCCGCCCTTGTATTCCGGACCAGCCTCAGAACCCAAGTCACTTACGCCAATACGCAGCGCCTCCTCCACCTCCTCAATCTCAAACCACCGCGCATCCTCCAACTCAGGATCGTGCTGTAAACAGATTGTTTCATGCTCGGGGTCACTGACCTGGGCAATAGCACCAATCATCAAATTAGCCGGATACGGCCAAGGCTGCGAGGAGTGAATAACAACGCGGGATAAAGTGACACCCGATTCCTCCCATACCTCTCTCCGCACAGCATCCTCAATCGACTCGGCTGGCTCAATGAATCCAGCCAAGGTGGAATACCACCCTGGCGGGAATCGCTTGGAGCGCCCGAGCAGGATCCGCTTGCCGTCAGCGGAAACCACCGCCACAATGATAGTCGGATCGGTACGGGGGAAGCAAAGGTTTGACAGCGTAGTACGGGTATTGCACTCCGGCCGTTGTTCCGTATTGCCCTCAGTTGCTCGTGCAATATCCGTTGGCGGACAAGCGCGCTTGGTTCCTGCATTCACGGGCAGAGTGCGGTGGCCGCATGTCCCACAGAAGGTGTTGCGAGTATTCCAGTCCGTCAGTGCACGTGCCTGTGCGTAGATAGCAGCTATTCCGAATTGGTTAGTTCCCTTTTATCAATCTAGAAATTAATATCGCATCTTCGTACCTTCATCTGCCGAGAAGGACATAACAACTCGCGCCTGGAAGAAAGACAGTCCCTTCGCCTCCATGACGCTGATCACATCCTTTGCTGCAGTCTGCTGTTCTTCAGGACCCTTGGGGGTCACATCGACTGCAAAATACGGTGTGCCCGAGTAAATCTTCCACGCCATACCTTCTTCCTTACGGCTCTCGTCCAATCCGAGGAATATAAGGGTCGGGTGTGTCTTGCGCGAATCATAGTTCTTGATCATGTCTTCCTCAGATGTATCGAAAGTATCCCGGGGCACAAGATTCCGCACATCGTCATACTTGGCATAGTGTAGCTGTGCTGGCGACGGAGTCAAGGGGGCTAGGTTGTTCAACAGTACAAATCGGGCCGAAGGGTGCTTCAGAGCCGCAGACAGGAACGGATGGTCAGAGCGTAAGAACGATAAACGGTTGATTGGAGAGCCTGCAAATGCTTTAGATCTATTTGCACCGAATATATGTGACTTCAAGAAAATCTTACTGGAGAAGTAATTCACCGTCTCTTTGCCGAAGTGTCGGGACAACATGGAATCCGCAAGCATATGAGCTGGGCTAGGGATTTGAGTGGTCGTGCTCATTCTGTAAGAGCTGGATTGCCAACAATAACTGTCTAGAGTAGAATATTAACAAGAGAAAAAAATCACTTCATGAGTCTATATTCAAGGTATTAAGAAAGTGGAATCCCAGGAACAGCCCTGAAGGGCTTGGGCAGGGCTGCCCAGCCGTGAGGAATCACATTAATCAGCGGCCTCGGGACATTTATCCATCAATACAAGATGATTACACGTTTTGATCGGATTTAACCCGATGGTTCCAATTGGAGGATAAATTACAATAACTTACAGTCACACTATTACCAGTGAAGCGGGGGAATTTAAGCTCCCCACACACGTGACCACATTCTTTTGACTCTTATCGCCGACGAGCCTCTTTGCGAAGCACAAGATACGGACGTCACAGTCATACTAGGCATCATGGGGCACCTAGTCACTTTAGCAACATGGTAAAGCTAACACACTTACTATCCGGATACTAGAGAACCCCGCGCTGACGCTTTCTAGCTCTCTTAACCAGTGGGCTCTCGACTTTGAGGGTAACGCGGAGCGCATCATTGAAAGTATTCGGCAAGCTAAGGCTGCCGGTGCCACTTTGCGCGTTGGTCCGGAGCTCGAGATTACCGGCTATGGAGTTTTAGACGGTTTCCTTGAGGGCGACACCTTCTTGCACTCATGGGAAATGTTCGCCCGCATCATCGACCACCCCGATTGCCAGGATATTGTGGTTGACGTGGGATTGCCGGTTCGCCATCGCAATGTGCGCTATAACTGTCGGTAAGTATCGCCGATGCAACTGGTATCGCATTAGCTGATATATCGTCTCACAAGTGTGATCTTCTACAACCGGAAGATCGTTCTGATCAGGCCGAAGATGTGGCTTGCCAATGGTTTGTTCAATTGCTCTTTATACTTCGGAAAAGAGTTGCTAATATCATTTTTTTATTCTAGATGGCAACTACCGTGAGCACCGACACTTTACGCCATGGCAGCGTCCGCAGGAGGTGGAAGACTACTATTTGGAATCAATTGTTGGAAAGGTTACTGGCCAGTACAAGGTTCCATTCGGCGATGCCGTTATCAGCACGAGAGATACATGCCTTGGCCTTGAGACATGTGAGGAGCTTTTCACCCCTAATGGGTAAGTTTTGAGCTCTCTGTATGACTTTGGATGCTAATAGCTATTTCAGCCCCCATGTTCCATATGGCCTAGCTGGTGAGTCACAATGTCCAGACTACCGCGCTCATTGTCTAACATGAATTAGGTGTTGAGATCATCTCCAATTCTTCGGGCAGCCACCACGAACTGAAGAAGCTCGACACTCGAATCAATTTGATCACCCAGGCTACCAAATTAGTGAGTGGAAAATAAAGCTACAAATGATAGCACTTTTCTCACACTTCACAGAGCGGTGGAATCTATCTTTATGCCAATCAGCAAGGCTGTGATGGTGATCGTCTGTACTACGACGGATGTGCTATGATTGTCGTCAACGGAGACATTGTGGCCCAAGGCTCGCAGTTCTCCCTGAACGACGTGGAAGTCATCACTGCAACAGTCGACATCGAAGAAGTCCGCACATATCGGTGCAGCGCAAGCCGTGGAATGCAAGCGAGCAAGCAGTCGCCCTATGTCCGCCTTGATCTTGACATCAGACTTTCTCGTCGGGACGAAGATGCCGAGCCTAGCCTCGCCACTGCTCAGCCTATCAAGCCGCGGTACCATCCTCCCGAGGAGGAGATTTCTCTGGGGCCCGCCTGCTGGCTATGGGATTACCTTCGGAGATGTGGAGCCGCCGGTTTCTTCCTTCCTCTGAGCGGTGGTATTGACAGCTGTGCCACGGCAATCATTGTGCACTCCATGTGTCGTGAAGTTCTCAAGGCAGTCCGCGAGGGGAACGAGCAGGTCATCAAGGATGTCCGACGATTGTGTGCGAAGCCAGAAGATTCAGAGTGGCTTCCTACCACCACCCAGGAAATTTGCAAGTAAGTCTTCCATTTGTTGGGCCTGTGTCAGGTCAACCTTTTCTATCGTCTTAGTCTGGGTCAAAATTGACCCATTCTTCTAGATCTATCTTCCACACTAGCTACATGGGCACTCAAAACTCAGGCCAGGAGACACGCGACAGAGCAACTCGACTGGCCAGTGATATTGGTTCTTACCACATCGACTTCAATTTCGATACTGTGGTCACTTCTATCATGAATCTCTTTACTGTTCTTACTAACTTCCAGCCTCGTTTCAAAATGCACGGTGGATCTCCAGCAGAGAATGCTGCACTTCAGAATGTGCAGGCTCGCCTCAGAATGGTTCTCTCATATCTGTTTGCCTCTCTATTGCCAACTGTGCGTCAACGCCCTGGTGGTGGCGGCTTGCTCGTTCTAGCATCATCTAATGTTGATGGTAAGTCTCTTAAGTACACCCCGTACCTCGTTGGACATCTTCACTAACCATTATTACAGAATGGTACGCTAAAACTGAATCCACATTTCCTTCCTGATAACTGACTCAACTCATCTAGTTTGCGAGGCTACCTCACCAAGTACGATGCCAGCTCCGCCGATGTAAGCATAATTCCGCAAATTCAACCACAACTTCTCTTCCAAACTAACCAAACAAACTAGCTCAACCCAATCGGCTCAGTGAGCAAGGTCGACCTCAAGAAATTCATTTCCTGGTCGGGCCGAAGCTTCGGCCTCCCAATCCTCGAAGAATTCATCCACGCAACACCGACCGCCGAACTGGAACCTATCACACACGACTACGTCCAATCCGACGAAGCCGACATGGGCGTTACGTACGCGCAGCTAGGCGTTTTCGGGTACTTGAGGAAAGTCTCCAAGCTCGGCCCGTACTCTATGTACGAGAAGCTTCTCCACCTGTGGGGTAACGAGTACAGTCCGCGCGAGATTTACGAGAAGACTCGCCATTTCTTCTACTACTACTCTATCAACAGACATAAGATGACTGTTCTTACGCCTAGCTACCATGCTGAGCAGTACTCGCCTGAAGATAATCGTCATGATCTGAGGCAGTTCCTTTGTATGCTTTTCTCGTTTTTGGATTTGTGGGGATGTGCTAACTTTGGTTTGTGTAGACCCGCCGTTTACCTGGGCTTACAAGAAGATGGAAGATAATGTCAAGTACTGGGAATCTAAGGGGTGGACTACTGGTAAGGGAGCGAAGAAGAGTGTTAAGGCTGATTAGATGTACATCGTGTGGGTTTTAGAATTTTCAAGATGTTTGTGTACCTGGCTTAAATCTTGCTTGATACTAAAGGCTCCTTGGCAATTAAGGTTGAGTAATATGTGGATGCTTGAATTATTTCCTATGAGATATCAAACTAGCTGGGATTTACTTTTCCACCCGGCGTGAGAAAGTCAATAATCGAATGTACAGAGCCGGGTGACTCAAACCAGGCTGGGAAGAAAATTGCGAAGAGATAGAGGGAACATCCGGAAAGCAGTGGAATATACAAATCATAAATTGAGGGAAAGCGCTGAAAACGGGGTCATGTTAAAGGTCATAGCCAGGGAAGATTGGCGTTCGTCGTAGAAATTGTCCAAACAGAGTCCTAGTCTTTCCAAAACCAACCGTTCTTCGGTTTGTCGGACGTAGGCCTAGAATCCAAACCTTCCTGGGGACGAGACACCTCAACAGACTCATCACTTTCCTCTCGGCCATCTGCAAAACGTCTTGTGTTGACAATCTTGCTCTCAACCGAGCCATCAGGAAGCCGCACGCGTTCTGTTCGAGTCATAGTGGAGATAACACGAGGCTGTGCTGGTTCCGAGGTAGCTCCGGCTGGTTTAGTGTCGATTTCGGTCGGCGAATCCCTGGGTGTTTCAGGGACAGATTTCTTGCTCCCTCCGGATACAAGATCGATCCAATTCTCGTTATCGTCATGGCTGTGTTGGTCTTCGGCCGTCGGAGGACTGCGCCTGTATTTCTCAAGTTCTTCCTGTTGCTCACGTCGTTCCTCGAGGAGGAGACGCAGAAGAGGGCTTTCGGAGACACCGCGGAAGAATTCACGTTCGCGGTTTTCGATATCATTCAAGAAGCGCTCGTACAAATCTAGTTCGCTCTCAGCCTCCTTCGTATCTGTAGACTCTTTCTCTTCCTCGGGCAGAGATCGAGACCATGACCGGTCCTGCTCTGGGCCTGCACGACCAGATAATGTAACGCCAGACCAAGGCTGGCCATCTATGTCAGACACAAACTTCCACCTATCTCCCAAGCTGCCTCTTTTAACAAGCCCTTGTAGCCAGTCTTTTCCGGACTCGGATCTCGCGACGGAGGCATTGAGATCAAGCATCGGCTTATTGTTCTCGAGTCGAAGTAAATCCTCAAATGCTTCTCTCCACTGCGGTTCGGAAGGGTCACGCTCAGAGTTGAGATGCAAAGATGACATGAGAGATGAGAAAACGCCCTTTTCCTGTTGCGCTTGGAATTGTGCTTGGCGTTCTAGGTGGAGAGGCGAGTATGGGCTGAACAGGATATACCCGATCGGCCAGGTTGGTGATTCGGTGTCCTCAAACATATCCCGGAGAAGAAGGTTGTGGCCGGAGTGTAGGAGTTGGGACGCAAAGGGAAGAACCGATCCTCGAAGAACCGGTCGAAGAAGGAATCGAGGCCGAAGAAGTCGGATGGTCCATTGCACCACTTTCTCCACGAATCGTCATTCTCAGGCCAGCGTGGTCGTGAATTATTTCCATAGATGCGGGGATCATCTCCATCTCGGTTGCCCGGATAACCACTTCCACTGTCTCGGTCTGTTGGATAGCTGCTGTTGTCCGTATTATCACTGGTTCTTTGACGAGACATTCGATTCTGGTAGCCGTGGTTATCTGCCAATATATCCCAGTGGCCGTTGTGAGGCTGAGTTACCATCGAAGGGAGGCCCGTGATAGACTGAAGCATGGTGGAGACCTGCTCATCGGCGTAGCGCCGGAAGGCGACGAACGGGTTGTTCTCATCATCAGGCCAGTCTTTCTGAGTCGAAAGATCCTTGCGGTTGATGTCTTCGTTGCCCATGGTTATGATAAAATCAGAGAATAACAATAGATACTACCTTGGTAGGCTGATGGAAGGAAAAGTGAAGAGATGCAGAGTTGAATACATGTTGGGGAGCCCCACTCGGTCCCACGTGATTCCCAATGTATTTTCGTTTTTGCATTGTTTTTTTCAATGTTTCCTTTTCTTCATGTGCCCTATTCCCCAGTGTGACTTTAGAATGTATGAAACTCTGTTCTTCTTTCATCTTAATTCAATTCAATTCAAAAACTGTCTAACAACTATACTACATATTCACTCTTCACAAACACAACTGCGTTGAGCCGCTGGCGTCATTGCAAGGCTAAAGCCCCACAGCAGCTAAAGCGGGAACCATAGTTCAACCTCCGAAGTATGGGGATAGGAGTCGAAAAAATACATTTTTGGAGAAAGATAGGAGAGCTCCTGGGTTCTGTATCCTTTAGCAAACCATCTTAAAAGAAATGGACAGACCTTTAAATGGCTCTAAACCAGGAGCATCAATGTTGACTTGGAGTAGATCCGCAATAGTTGGGTGGCTTCATGTTCAGGCGTTGAAGACGAAAGACTCGAAGCGCCCATGATCCTAGCATCAGTGATAATTTCATCGCCAATGTAACCGAAGTTGAAGAAGCAGTGGCAGAACCTAAATTACCTAACATTCCTATTAATATTATTCATTTCCTATTATCTATCATTCGCCTTAACTTCTTAGCCACGCCTGAAACCAAAACAAAACGCAGCATTGCCCTCCACTAACCCAAAGTCTCATCTCAAAGCCGCTTATGGTGAACTCTACTCAACTGCTCCGTCATGTTATCCTTCCGACTGAAAAACCTGCCACACACAGGACAATCGGTTGAGCGTGGGAAGACATGCTGTGTCTCAATGTGACGCATTAGCACTCCCTTTCCAGAGAAGACGCGGCCGTATTTGCAGTCTTTCCAGGGGCAATGGAAAGATCTATGGACTTCTCTGAAAAGGAAATAATATCGTTAGCGCAGCAATGATATGGTATAGCCTGGCTCTTAACTTGGATTGTAGATTGCTCACTCCTTTTTTGGTTTGTGCGTTTGGACGCAATCAGAGGACATCATACCCTGAGGGTGCCTCTTGGTATTGGTGTTTATCTGAGATGGTTCGTATTCTGTGGGAGGTACAATATAGGAGTGGAAATGGGATTGTGTATAGGACTGGTTGACTCTTTTGCCGAGCAATTCATAATGCCAGTGTCTTCGACTGGGAAATTAACAGTATGCTAGTCCAATTCGTGCAAATTCAGATGAGTTGGAGCGTGAGGCATAACAAAGTTAGGACGTTGCGGTATGAAAGGGTGTTGCGCTATACCATTACATAGAAGATGGTTTCCAGCTAACATAGATGTTTCTGCAGTCATTGAAGGATGTAACTGATGAGCGAAATGATTTTCAGGATGATTCAAAACAACACGCCAGTCAAGTTCCTCGGGTACATTTGGGATGTCCGTGGGGAGGTTGAACGAAGAGTAGGCCATTGGATTATAATATCTATCACAAGTCAAGGATAATGGGCCTGTATTGGAAGGCTTTGAATTGTTTGAACTGAACTTCAAGAATTCTCGAGGTGAAAGGAAGAGAAGCTTTATATGTTGTATGCTCGAATTGACCCAGGCAAAATTAGATTGACTACACGCTAATCGATACATATGCAGTCATAAGATAGATGGCGTGTACCACTGCGTAGTAGGATATTTAAGTAGCCAGTGAGATGTCGTGTAGCCCATTTCAAGCCATCTTGTCAGGCACAGGGTTGGAATATAACAGCTTGGCATGCCCAGTTTCTCAACGCCACAATTTGGTAATAATCACAGACTGTTCTTATTGGATAAAATGGGTTAAAACTGTCACCGCTTGTTTATCTTATTTTCATTTTCGAGGCTGTAACCCCGGCTAGTTCTGCTTCATTACTGACTAAAAACTTTAAGGCAGAGGGGCTGATCTAGCTGAGGGGAGTATGGTTTTTTTTTTTTTTTTTTTTTTTTTTTTTTTTTTTTTTTCATGTTTGGTCCTAAATGATAACATTCTGGGATGTCCAAAAAAAGAACATAAAAATACCTATGGAGGTGACGTGTCTCCCATCTTACATATGCGCTCGTGCTTGAGGCTCCCATGCTTCATCAAATCCTGTAGAGCGAACCCACATCGGTCTATCTCCCTCCTCAACCGTCGAGTCAACGGCTGCCGAGCTGTTAGTTAGGTAAAAGGAAATTACACTCTCAGGTCTTGCTGCTTACCTATATTGCCAATCCTAAGCCACATATCTCCCTTGATCGGCATCTCGGGGTGTTTGCTCTCATATACCTGGCAGACTTCCTGACCATGCGCCAAAGCCCGAGCTAGCTTGGCTAGATGTCCATCATCACCGGGATGGGCGATGCTTCGTGCGAAGATCTGTGACCAGTCCTCCTTTATGGGATAATTGGCCACCTCATCCAGCAGAAGGTCCGGTGTTCCACGTGAAGTATACATCAAAAGATCGATACGTCCCTTCCATTCCAGCATGCGCAGCTTGGATCGCTGATTCAAGAAGGGGAGGTTGATAATTTTAGAAAAGAAGATGGACGAATTGACACAATGGATGAAGAAGAAATCAAGTCTCATCTCTCTGGTCGGACGCTGCGCGGCACTGGTATAGTAGACTGAGATAAATTCAGCAATATGTCCTCACCCACATCCCTCAAACAATACCATCCAGTACTTCCAAGGCTAGACTTACCGACTGTATTGATCATATCCGCCAACCGCTCCTCCATCTGATCCTCAGACACAGTGAATTGCGAGGCATACTTCAGCATCTGCTCCGGTGCTCTATGAAGCACTCCATCCATGATCTTATTACTGTCGGACCACTGCACACTCTTAACAAGAGCCTTGTCTGCCCGCATCTCATTTATGAGCTGGAGCGTCGACTTCTGTCCCGACTTTCCAATACCACCAGCCATCTTCTCCGCGGGTAGGAAGAACGCACGACCCAGCCAGTCATCATGCACTGCTGTCTGGGCAAGGCCTTGTGCTACGATGGCAGGTTGGTTGAACTCTATACCGAAACCGAGCTGGATGAGCGGATGGATAAGGCCTGGATTACTTAGCCCGAGGAACATAAAACTTCAATATAACTCAGTATAGCTAGAAAATATACTTACCGCCAAACATCCGACACATCATACTCTCAGCTCGCTCATCTCCAGCGAAGACATACTGCCCCAGAACCTCACCAACACCCTTTGTATCGATCTCGTGCTGGAAGAAAGTTAGGTAATTAGGGTAATGTTCTTCCTTCCCAAAATACTCTTGGAATTTAGCGACGTCGTGCATAGATTGGATGACATCTTGGTTCGCTGGAAGGGCGGGTCTCTGGTAAGTCTTATTCCGGTCATAGCCAGCCTTGATATCCTCTGGTGCTGCGCCAAGAGCATAGATACTAAGCAGCTGATGAGTTATGTGATCTGTCTCTATATTAGAGATAGTTTTTGGTGAGAATTTAGCCTGAAAATGACATACTGTGGAAATGTTGGTCGTTAAAGAAGACATGGTGGATAGTCAAGTCTTCCTGCAAGATCTCACTCACTGTCCGCGCAGTATCTTCCCTTGCCCTTGAGCTGTAAATGCCCGAATCTGTCACCGGCGACAGGTCAATCTTAGTAGCGGTGGCCATTTTGGATGAAGTCACCCGGGAAAAGTTCTCGGTGTTGGAACTATACGAGCTGTATTGCGCGGCTAGTCGCGGAAGGGGTAGAACAGGTGGAAATATTGAAGCCGAAGAAACAACTGTTTGAAACGGTAGACATAGACTGGAATAGCAGCGAGTACTATTCAGCAAGAGAAGGCGAGAAGTGTTTGTAGTAGGTTTCAATCTGAACAAATGATGTTTGTGACACTGAAGAACGCGGGAAAGCATGTCCTTTATATAGATCAAGTCATCCGATCCATGTATTTAGTAATATAATTGGAGCTGTACAACTGTCAGAGTAGCCAGACGGTTCTACAGGAAATCCAATCCAGCAATGGAGCCTATCAAAGTCGTACAATTATTAAATCTGAGTAATGGAGCTCTGAACATGAAAAGCGGAGAAATCGGTCATTCGGCTTTCCGTTGCGATCAACACGTCATAGGAATTGGTTTCAATCAGTCAGCATATGGGCTAGCCCTGGAGCTCGTATCTGCCAAAAAGTCTTGGCATCTCATCCCTTCGGAGGCAAAAAAAAAGAATTCAACTGAGCACCGAGCGTGGATCGAACACGCGACAACCTGATTTGCAATCAGGCATTCTACCACTAAATTACCGATGCAACAGACCCTAAACCGTTAGGTTGTCGGGGCTGGTTTGTTTTTATTTGCCGATTTAGTGAATTATAGTACAACCAGAGCTAGCCCTAAATTGGAGTTGTGGTTTAGAACCACCACCCTAGACCCTAATCTATATTAGTAATTCGGCGCAGTGCGAGAGAAAGGGTTTTCCTTACCGTCTATTGCTTTAATATTTATAATATGTTGATATCTTAAAGTTCATATGGATGGGTTCCCTGATCATGGTTCCGGGACCAACAGCTTTCATTTTACGGGCTTCTATTAACCTGCTTTTATAGCTGATCTTATTTTCCAGGGTTGGTGAGGTCCAACTAGAAGCTTACGGGAACTTTGGCTCGTGGGGTTGAACCCGGCGGTTATAGCTTCCATGGATACCATGGTAGATCCCAACGGATCCGGAAAGTTACTATATTACATTTGCTACTATCCGTCTCCAGTACATAGCCAGTGTTCGCGAATATAACTAATATTCCGAGTCTATCTATTGGTTGGTCCCTTGGCACGGCTATAGCGAGTCCAATCTCTCAATGTCAAAGAACAGTCCAGGTAAGAGCTCAACCTTTCCTTCCTTCAATCCATTAAACACCAGTCGAATAGACGCATCCCCTCCAGACAGGGAAACTTCATGTTTGCCGGTCGTCGTACCAGAAGGAACTTCATACTTCCAGGGTCCACCAAATATCGCATCATATGCACCCTTAAAATTTGAAATCTCTCCATCGGAGACTTGCACCGACACAGAAGAAATGCCCTGCACACCATTCGGGTGTTGAGCGAGATGTGGCTCAACCTCATAAGGGACACGGTTTGCGCGAGGTGTTCTGTCCAGACACCAGAAGGGTAGAGGTCCGGGAACGACCTTTCCTTGGCCATCCTTAGGGACGCAAACTGCCCATTTCAACACGGTGCCATCTGGCTTAGTACGACCACCAGCGATAGGGTCTGTATAGGAAGCATTGGTATCCGCGCCCTGGAATCGCTGTTGGACGGCGCTGAAGTCGTTTTCCGATCGTAAAGTGAAGGCCCAGTCGACGATGGTGTCTTCTTTCTCGTTTCCCCAGCGATGGTTGCGGCGTTTTTCGGGGTCGATGTCGTCGAAGAAGGCAATTATTTCAAGGTAAACGCCATCCGGGAGGAGAATCAGTTTGTTCGTGGTGAGTCCATCGGCATGGGTTCCACCTGGTGCTAGGGTGAATTGTCCCTCAATATGTTCGGAGATTCCGAGGAGTGTTTTGTGAGAAACGAGGAGCACTATATGGTCGAGGATGGGGGTTTGTTGTTCAGACATTATACGATATAGTTATTCCTTTTGGACGGAACGTAATCAGACAATGTTCCAAGGTTGTGAAGGCAGAATGTAGGATCAAACGTTCCCCGCATCATATTATTTATATTTGGAGAGGAACCCCTCACTTTTCGCCAAGAGAAAGTAGTTCTGTGTTCAACTGATGAATTTATATTGCACAGCTTGATGGCGTTCTAAAAGTTGTCTATTGCTCATCATACCCTAGCCTAATTGATCCGAAATGGTGCAATAATGGAGCATCGGAGAATCAACTTCATTAAAATCAAAATGGATCATACTCATAGTTTAGTTCAATTATGTGTGCTGTTTAGTAAATCTTAGTGTCAAATTGATGGATGGTACACCTGTGTATATGATGTCTATGTCATTTCGAGCCATCCTTGAGGTATTCGCCCTTTGCGGGAACATCGACTATTCCCCGTTGCTCCTTCAACCTCCATTGCATGGCCTTCAGGGTGTGATACAAGACTGACAATACTGGCATTGACACCCCGCGTGATAACCCTTCTCTTAACGGCTCCCCGACGAGGGTCTCAAATTCAACAAGATTGCCCTAGAATCACGAGTTTTTAGTAAGATACCTTGTAAGATGCAATGAAACTATATCATACCTTTTGGACATCCTCCAGCATGCTTGGCCGGAGATACATGGTCAGAGGATCTATATTGATCATTCGATCCTCAATGCCCGAAGGAAGAATGACCCCTACAGCATTTGCAGCAGCCACAACCTCTTGCATTGCAGGTCGCACCAAAGTAGAAACAGTGTCTTCCGCAAGCCGAATGCGCCCTGTGTCTAATCCTGTTATTGCGCAAATCGGATTCAGACATGCATTGTAAACCAGCTTTTGCCATCGATGGAATGGAACATCAGAGGTGAAGGTACAATCTGTTTTCCCACCTCCAGAATACATCTTGACAAAGTGATGAGCTATACCATCCTCCGTTTCTTTATGCAAACATGGATTTCGGAATGCACCGATAATAAGCCGATCGGGGTCTTCATGCTCAATGACAGCTGGTGCTGTTTCATGGGATCCGATCAAGCTTACACCAGAGAGACATATATTGTCGGGGTACTTCTCCAGGAATGGCTTTTCGATATTCAACCCATTCTGAATGAGAACAATGACTGTTTTCCCAGGAACAATAGCAGGCTCGATCAAATCTGCCATGGTTGGTGGATGATCTGGGGTGTTTTTGGTCGTGATAACCACATAATCAAAGCACATCTCAACCTGCGTGGGGATTGTGTTTACCACTGTGAATTGGTTAGAACTGGATCATAAAGTTGAATTGATGGTTCCAACCTTTGCTAGGTTTCCAATTGGGAATATCTCCATGGTCACAAGATTTGACGTTGAATCCGTCCGAAATGACTCTTGAATAATTTGACCGAAGGACCGCTGTTACAACAGCGTGGCCACCAGTTTCTAGGTTTAGCGCTGCGATAGTTCCCACACCACCGCAGCCGACAAGCAGGACTTGGGATTTTTCTGACATTTTGGTTCAAAATGAACAAAAGAGAAAATCGGGGCTCATTACATACTTATTGATGCTACTGAGTTACTCTCGGCGATACCTTCCTCAACCGATTATCGGCCTTCAAGCCCTACTTTAGATGCAGCCTTTGAAGTCCAATCTTATCGATTTGCGTATCGTCCACTATCTACATATGTACCTCGGTATCTATGTATCAATCTCCCCCTCTATCAGGATGTCTTCTCTTGTGAGGGGTCAAAATCACCGAATGCGTCAACATCTGCTCCCCGAAGGTACTGCATCGGCGTCTTAAACTCCACGAACCCGATATTCGGGCTTGATAACTCATACCCCAAGGCCTTTTGAGCCTCTGGTGACCAGCTCAGAACTTCCTCAGCCGAGTTGGCTAGATAAATATTCTCCTCCTGTCGATAGAATCCGCGAGTGAAAAACATCCCATGTAAGGTCCTCCGCTCATCCGGGGTGATATTTGCTCCTCCAGCATGATACAACCCGCCCAACATGACCCAGCAGTCGGTTAAATCCATGAGAGCAGGTCCCGCCTCGTGTAGTTTTGGGGCACGATCAGAGCCCCAAAGATGGCTACCGGGAATGGCTATAGTAGCGCCGTTCTCCACGGTAGTCTTGACTCCAGGGATCATAAATGCCATCATCACATCCGAGCCTACACGATAACCCGTAGAAGATTGATCTTCGTGATCAACATGGAAGTTCTTGTCGTCTCGATGTAGTCGCTGTGCTTTAGCACCGGGTCCGACGTCAAATGTCATGGCGATCGAGCAGATTGCCTCGCTTGTATAGGTGTGTTTGGTTTCTCCGTAGAAGTTTGACGTTGTCTTGTCCACAAATTTGGCGGTCAATGTGCGAATGAGTGGATCGACTAGCCATTGTTCTCTGGCTGTCTTGCTTCGTCCCATCAGATTGGCACATCGCCGAGTTTCCGGTGGGAAAAGATCGCCCTTTGTTTTTATTTAGTATGGGTAAATGGCTGTTTCGATTGGTGTTTGAATATAACTTACCTTCCATGGTTTGTCCGCATCGAGGTAAGGTTGAGCCTCTGCATTAACATTATTTATTGTTTCCACGCTTGTAAAGTTCTTGATCACACAGCAGCCATCGTCGATAATGGCTTGAATGATATCGGCCACATTGGCTCGGTCGATGCGTTGCACTGCTTGAGGTTGCTTCACGGTCATGATTGCGAGAGTATTGCTTGAGATACAGCCATGGCTTTAATCTCTTAAATATTGATAGCTTTCATAAATAATCCTATCCGAGTATATTGATCCTGTAATTTCGAGTTTCTGGAAGGTGGAGCCGATGTAGCCAATCGCCCCCGATATCGGTAATTTCTCCGCATTTCTGATAATCAAGATAATCAAGATAGGACAATGGGGCCAATAACATCAGGTACAATTATCACCTTGACCTTCGTCTTCCCCGCTTTTATCAGCTTGCGCATCAGGCTACTGATGCCGCACCATGTCATCTAGCACTCAGGGTGAAAGCTCTTGTTTGAGCTGTCGCGCCAGGAAGGTGAAGTGCGACCGAGTATCACCACAATGCTCGCCATGCAAGAAACGGAAGCTCAACTGCGAGATTCCAGTAGCCCCGCCAAGGGTACGTTGGCTACGCCCGCGCCTGAATGAAGTTTCCGAGGACGATGTGGAGGATTTGCATGCGAGGCGACGGCCTTTGTTCACTGGTAAGTCAATGTCGAGAAACAAAACAGAAACAAACCTACATTGGATAGAAGACTCAAAATTCAATAGCCCATGATCTAGCCCACAATGCTGCTCAATTGGTATTTATCACGGGTGATAACCCAGTTGTGTCAATTCTAGATGAATTAGACCAGCAAACTGATGGTATTGGAAACGATCAGACCTTGTGCAATGGTCCATTCCATGTATTCCAAGCTACAGAAATGCCATCAACTACTCAATTCGAAACCCTTTCGGATATTTTTGACCCAGACCTCTGGAATTCAAGGGTAACGAATCTTGACGAGATGATGGAAGAGGAGAACGGGTACAGTCCCGATCAGCTTGCAAAATCTCCAGAGTTCCTGAGTCTGGAAGATCCCTTAGAATCCGAGACATTCATCTTGGACAATATTGACTTTATGTGTCAACCAACTCCTCGGGCTCCGCAATCTGTTATTTCCCTTCCATCATCTCCGTCTCGCTCATCTGCATCAGACTTGGAGGATTTCACCATGCCACTCGCCAAAATGCTCCTTGACCACTATCGTCATACAATGGTGACATTCTTCACTCCTGCTCGGGTTGAGGCTAAGTCGCCATGGGAATCCATCTATATCCCCAGCTTGCTTAGCACGGTAGGCGAAATCGGCTTAGCAGGGGACAGCAGTAATGCAAAGGTCTCCCTGCTATTTGCCGTATTTGCAATTAGTGCTTTTAGTCAAAGCCAAAGCTCTTCCCCGGAAGAACAAGGATACCAAGATTGGAATGCTCTTGGCGAACTGTATCGCGAAAGAGCTTCTAGACGATTAAAACAATCGCTCTTCAACCTATCTCACGGCAACGACAAGAAGGAGAAATATAAGGATATTTTGATGGCACTTCTAAGCATGGTCACTATCTGTGTGAGCTTTAGTAATGTCTTTCTTTTTACGGACAGTTTGTGCTAACCCCAACGCAGGTGGTTAGTGGGAAGATGGAAAATGCGGCTCATTACCTACGAGACATTGAAGAGATCATCAACCTCCACGGCGTCCAAAAGGTTTCCCAATCATCGAAAGTGCGCATGCTCCACAGTATCTATCTTTATCTTCGGGTTGTGACTGAGCGAACTTGTATTGAGAGCCGGTCTCAGCCGAATATTTTCGAAAACTCTTTAACTCTCTCCATTTCCTCATCCCAAGACATCTCTACTTGGGACCGTCTAATCGGGTTCTCTTCACCCTTCACTGAAGGCACTTTGAATATCGATACACCTTCAAAATCTACGTTTGAGGAAATTTACTCTGTCCCTCAATCTTTGTTTAAATTGATCCTTCAGACCACCCACTTGTCGGTATTGATCAATAAAATGCAAACACCCGGGATATCCCACAACATCGACCATGGCCCATTATTAGAACAAGTGAAAGATCTGGAGAGCAGAATTTGCACTTGGGAATACGAGCCTCCAGGCAACTGGGAGTCCGCTCACACCCCTTTGCCCCAGAGAGAGATTTTCCCATATCATTTCGTCCAGGCAATGTATAAAGCGCTGATCGTTTATTTTTACCGCAGCGTCAGAGACGTCAACGCTACGATATTGCAATTTTACGTTCAGCAGATAATTGATCATCTTTTTGAATATGACAAAAAGAAACAGAAACACATGGATCAATCTGCTAATACCTGCTGGCCTGGGTTTATCGCAGGATGCGAGGCACTTGATCCTAAACTCAGAGAGCAGATTTCCGATTGGCTTGAACGGTCTGGTCGATCTACTGGAATTCGCATGTTTATTGTGGCTCTGGAAGCTTTGCAGAAAGTTTGGCAGACGAGAAGTCTACCGGGGATGCAGAATGCCCCTTGGAACCGAGTCTTGGATGGGTTTAGTGAGCTAAGAGTACTTGTATTGAGTTGACCGATATTTGATTGGAATTTTTCACAATGCATCTATTGCTTTCTTTATCTCAACATCCCATGGCCTTGTATCCATCGTGTGATACAGCTGATTCCCATTGCAAATAGCCCTGGAACTCCGCGAATAGGCTCTCCTGTTTGATCGTCAGCCATCCACATGTTGAACCCAGGATTGATAGCTTATGTACTTACTGGGTCACTAGTATTCTCATAAGTAAATCGCGCAGCTTCGTCATCGATGTATAATTTTTCCCGGCCAGATGCCGCGGCCGCATCAGCGGCTAGTTGGATCATGCAACTTTTTTCCATCAGGAGAAAGAGATAGGCGGCTTCATCCACAGTCTGGCCAACAGTTAGGAGACCATGATTCCGTAATATCATGGCTTTCCCTTGACCAAGACTCTCAGCTAATGCCGTCGATTCTTCCTCCTTAAGAACAACGCCGCCGAACTCTTTATACACACTTTGTGCGCCGTAGAAGATGGCAACATCTTGATTTAGCATTTCCAGGGGCTGTGCAAATGTCGACCAAGCCTTGCCGTACGTAGAATGGAAGTGACATGCGGCATTCACATCCGGTCTAGCTCGATGGATTGCGCTATGAATCAGGAACCCGGCAGCATTTGCTGGTCGAGACATATTCCCGCCGACAGCGACTCCGTCTTCGTTGACTAGAATCATGTCGGATGGATTAATAAGTCCAAAGTGAATCCCTAGACTTTGCAACAAATCAGTATGCCTTTTCCAAATATTTCATTTGCAAGTTCTACTTACGGGTTTGTCCAGAAAAGGTCCGGATTTTCGGGGTCGCGCATACTGATATGGCCTGCCATTCCTTCGACGAAACCGTGTCGAGCAAATACTCTGAAAGCACCCGCCATGTGATTTAGCATATATTCCCTTTGCGTCTCAAAGTTTTTAAATTTGGGCACGCCAGGGAGTGGAGTGCCTTGTGACAACGCAGCAAGGCCTGTAAGTTTGGCGCCATCGTCGATAGAGGGTGCCATTGTGGTATACAAACAAGATAGAAGGAAAATGCAAAAACTCTCGAATAAAATGAGAAAGGGTTTTCTAGTTTGGTCAGACCCCCTCACTTCGCCCTCTTCGCCCTTATCGTGGGGGGGAAGTTGTATTCGGAAGGTGAGGCCGAAGTTGAGATCCAAGCTCAATCGAAACACTAATACTCTTTTTTTATAAAATTCCCTTCCATTCATCTTTCCCGGATTTACAATTTTTGTATTCCACTTGAAGAAACTTCATTATGGACAAATCTAAAAGCGTTGATAGTGGACATATGGGTGAGAAGCATGGCGAGAAGCAAATCAACTTGAACCCCATCATTTCTATTGGAGAAGGTCAAGTGGAGGCAGATGTGGAGAAGTATGGTACTCTCCATCGGACATTGACTCCACGTATGATTCATGTACGTTTAGAATGCAGTATGCAATACATTTTGAACGCTAACGCATAACAGGTCATCTCCCTTGGCTCAAATGTGGGTAGTGGTCTATTCATTGCTACAGGAAAGGCATTGGCTGAGGGTGGCCCTGGAAATATGTTCTTGGGTTACCTCGTGGTATGTATTGGTGTCTGGGCCAATCTTCAGAACCTAACGGAGATGACCATTGCCTTTCCAACGTCGGGAAACTACATCGACTATGCAGATCGATGGGTTGATCCTGCATTGGCGTTTGGAGCTGGTGTGGCTGAATGGCTAGGTTGGACATCTGTTTTCGCTTCAGAGGCGACGTTTTTTGTCATTTTGGTCAACTACTGGGCTGGAGGTGCTGTTCCAGATGCTGCGTTGCGTAAGTCCTTACTCTTTACAGCTTTTTCTATACTACTACGCTAACGCATTTCAACAGTCAGTATTTTCTTGGTCATATGCCTCATTGTATTCTTCATGCCTAATAAATTTTTCGGATGGCTCGAATACTTTGGCTCGCTTGTCAAGGTGTTTCTATTCATCTTCATTACTCTTATTTCCCTCGCAATTATTGGAGGAGCTGGGTCAAAGGGCTACGTGCGTGACGGAAGCACCTGGACCGATTTACCATTCAAAAATGGCTTTGGGGTAGGTTTTGGTTTGGAATGACAAATTAATCTCCAATCTAATATTTCAATCTAGGGATTTGCTAATGCTGCACTTCTCGCAATTTGGGCCATCGGTGACCAGGTTTTTATCGGTGTCATGGGTGGTGAGGCCGAGTCACCTCGCTACTCCATGGCACACTCAGCAAACTTGATCCCCTGGCGAGTGGCGGTATTCTACCTAGTCTCGACCGTTCTCGTTTCGATCATTGTTCCTTCAGATGATCCGCGTCTCTTAGGTGGCTCAGGTGTTGCCGCCTCTCCGTTCGTGATCGCCGTGCAAGATGCGGGCATTAAAGGCGTCCCTGACTTGATCAATATTTGCATGATCATTGGAGTCTTGGCCATTGCTCTGGAATGTATATTCCTGCCATCGAGAATCTTACGAACAATGGCCCTACAAAAACTTCTACCGGATTTCATTGCTAAAGTTGACGAACGAGGTCGGCCAAGATGGGCACTTACCATCACGGCACTCGCAGCTGTGCTTTTAACATACATGAGTTTGAGCGGTATGTTTACTATCCCCTATTTTGGCACTCTCTTTCACAAATACCTGGCGCTAATAAAAGAATAAAGCCGGGGGACTTGAAGTTTTGAACTGGCTTATCGCCATCACCAGTGCATCCTTCTTCACCAACTGGGCAATTATCGGCTTCACATCTTTCCGATTTCGAGCTGCAGTCAAAGCACAGAGAAGTCCTATTTTCGATCACCAGTACGGCTGGAATTCGAACTTCTGGCCTGTTGCTCCGGTATTAGTCCTTGTCATATCAACTTTACTGTTGATATGTATTCTTTATTCGAGTATAAAGCCGTTGGTATGTGAACCCGACATGCTTTAAGCTTGTTACCTCTCCTGTTTTTTCAGTTCTCTAACAATATCCAATTATAGGCTGGTGGATTTACAGTTTATAACTTCTTTTCTTATACTATCGGCTTGTTTCTGATTATATTCTCAACCATCGCATACAAGGTCATCTTTCGAACGCCTTGGCGTGATCCAGCAACAGCCGATTTGGTTACTGGTCATCGAGTATTGACAACTGAGGAGATTCGACAGCTAGATGCTTATTATGAGCGTCCGTTCTGGCGACGAATTGGGACGTATATTAGGCTGTGGTAACTGTTTCGGTATATGCCGTGTGAGAAATTGTTCTATCTTGATTGTTAGAAGAGACAGCTGAGAGGATGTAAATAAATTTTATTTTACTTTTATTTTATTTGCTGTCGATTCATTAGTTTATTATTAACAAGAATAGTTGACCGCTTATGCGGCCTTGTCATGTCTTTTGGATGCTCTTTTTGGATGCTCTTTTTAACGCTTCTTTTAGATGCCATTTTAGCTGTATACAAAGGCAAAAAAAAGCATATTCTACTCAAAAGACTTTTCTATCTATAACCTTTCAATTTTCTACCTCGCAAAACCCCAGTTGGCGCGATGACCTAGATGGATGTACCAAGGCCATTAAAAAAAACCATGCTTTGTGCAAGGGACTTTTCTACTAGGGACCAGAGATATATATATATATATAGTCTTTTTAATATACCTTCCGATTATTAAGCTAATCTATTTCCTGTATATAGTATTAACAATAGAATATTAGAACATATTATCGTACATTACATGGTCAAAACAGCGGATAGTCCCCGAAGTGTATGTAGACTTCTATCGACTTCTAGTATTTACAACTTTGGCCTTTTCTCCAAAAGCTTTAACACTTCCTTCGCACCTTCTTCGCCCGAGCTGACTGCTCCTTCCATATATCCCTTCCACTCCTTGGCAAACTCCGTTCCAACAAAATGAATATTCCCAACAGAAGTCATAACTCCAGGCCCACTAATCGGACATACAGCACCCTGACTCCATTCTTCATTCATCCACTGCCTCTCCAAAGCATCAATCGGTTCCAAAGCCTTCGCATCTCCAGTAATCTGAAAGAGATGCTGCAAAACCGCAGCTTGCCTTTTGAACGGAGCCATCTCACTCCACTTTCGACCGATAGACCCATTCACAAAGCAAGTCAATGAAAATTGACCGTCTGCGGCGCTGCTAGTATCCCGAGTTACAACAATAGGTCCGTCATAGCTAAGAATGAGTCCGCAGAGATTCTTCTCGACCCACCATGGCTCCTTGTAGATAAGAATTGATTTGGTATAAGTGCCCAGCTTAGTACTGGTGCTAGCGGTCCACTTGCGCTCTGGAAGTGCGGGAGAGAAAGTGATATCTTTGTAGAGCGGAGTGGGGATTGAGATAATCAGTTTTCGAGCAGTAAAGACTTTCTCGGTTGAGAGAGGTGATGCCACCGTCACTTGAACTTTGGTTCCATGGTCAGCCACGGCTTTTACTGGCGATGAAAGATGGATGGATCCCCGTGGGAGTAATTTGGCCAGATTATTGGCAACTGATTGGGTGCCTATTTATCACATTAGTTCCTTGGACTCTGTTTGGTAGTTCGAATACTTGAAAAATGTAGCCTACCTTTGCGAAAACGCAGATACTGTCCTCCGTGCTTGCTATCAGAGCGCATTTGCATTAAGCCACCTCCCTTCGCGCAATAATCCACAAAGCACCCAGCACTGATTTCGTTGGAGTCCACACCGAGCATGACTTGAGTCCAGAGATTGACCATCTTCAAGGTTCTTTCACTTCCCCGCTGACGTTGAACATATTCATTCAAGGTGATCTGATCAAGCTGTAGAACCTGTTCATTCGTCGAGCCTGCAACTAGAGATTCTCGAGCCTGAATAGAAAGCTCGTGAATTGCATCTCTAATTTGTTCAAGATTCTCAACATCAGATGCATTTGCAAACTAGTTTCTTTTTCTTAGTTCCGTCTTTGTGTGGGCTTTCGGGTGGTGTGCATGTACATACCGGTGGTGTAGTCCCATACGCGAATGGAATAATTGTTCCATCTAGGTCTTGCATCAACCCATTTCCCTCTGTATTCTGCTTGATGAGCTCGAGTCCAAAGCGCTGTGCATAGCCATGCATGCGGTACTGGTTTGTGTCATTGATCCAGGCAGCACCAAGATCAACACATCCGCCTGTTTCGAGCGAAGCTGTGCATGTTTTTCCGCCGACCCTGTCACGGGCTTCTAGAACAAGGACTGAGTGACCAGCTTCGTGGATGTTGAGTGCGGCTTGGAGACCGCTGAGTCCTGCGCCGATTATGATAGTGTCGTACATTGTAAACAAGTGGAGTTATTAATGATCTTGCACACAGAAGACTTTCGGGGCATGGGATTATTTATGATATGAGGGGTATTGGGATCTTCTACCCGTGGACATGTATTCGACATTAAACTGATAGATGCAGCCGTTATCTTTCTGAAATAGGAAGGCAGGTCCGAAGGGTTGGGGAAACTCCCAATTATTTCCCTCTCATATTTTTTATTTGAGAATACAGGAAATACATCTGATTTATCCATATGAAATGAGTAAGGTTCAAAATAGAAGTACAATTACTAGCCGTCGAATAACAACAGTCGGTAACTGTCGTTACACACCGCCAGGTTGAACGACGACAGACTCAGGTGGTGGACCGATCGCCAAAGAAGATGTACTTTCTGCATCATACCTATCATCGAATCTCACATCCTCAAGCGAAACTTCGGTAGCCTCTTCCCCGGTGGCTCTAGTAGGCGATCTCCGGTGTGCTCTAGATTTGACGATAGAAGCCCACTGGGCTTTGAATATTGGGAGTGCAGTTGATGTGTAGATAATTGCATTCCAAAGCCCTTGAAGAGATAGAACGAGTGCCCCGGCCAAGTTCAACCCGAAATTCGGTTTGCTGGGATTGACCAACCCGTGAATTCGATTCACAAATGATGGTAACTAAGATCCTTGTCAGTGACAGTTTATGAGAGGACCCAATAGAAAGGAACATATCCATACCCAGGTAGCAACCATAGCTATGAAGAACAGAAACGAGTATCTCAAATAGCTCCGCATTGCATTGTGCTTGTTAGCTTGGATGTCTAACCCACTTCTAGTGCGTGAATGTTGGGATTCGATGGAGGTTGAATATAACATGGCTGGGCCACTACCTGAGCCTTTGGCTGCAGTAGCGGTCACATCGAAAGAAACCGATCGGGTAACGCCCATTGCTCTGTTGGCGGGTGGTTCATCTTTGGCAGGTTTTAGGGCCCCATACTGTCGCCAGATCCGGACGCCGGCTGTGGCGTAGATCGCAAAGGTTACAATACTGACTACCCTGTGGAACAAATTAGATGGAAAATTGGTAAAGAATATTGTATGACCTACCAAACTGGACCATAGAAACACACCAAACGTAGAAATTGCCACGGTTCGGAGATTGAGCACCATATCTAACGAGGAGTCAGTTCTATGCTGGGCATAGTCCGCAGGGCATAGTCTGCAGCAGGTACTTACCAAGGCTGGACCATAGATCCTGCCTCTTCCAGCGGTCTTGATGAGGCTCAGTGTCGTCGCGAGGATAAGGGGTAATCCATAACAGAACAGAAAGTACCACTTCTCAAGCTTCTTGAGGTCTTCTGCCGAGTATCTCCGGTAAAAAGTGAGATATATGTTAACCGCCATGCAAAAGGACCACAGCGAGTCCGTTGGCATCCAACTTTGATTGGGATGTTAGTTTCCAATTTCTTTCATGGATAATGACCAACATACTATTGGATAAAAAATGCTTGGGCGAGACATAGAGCAGAATGCGGTCCTGCTATCACTCCATCTCTGCTCATCAAAGATGCAACGGCGGCGAAAGCATTCCCAAAAGACGCATAGAAGATCAGCCTATTGACTGGTTTGCGAAAAGCGCTTGAAGCACAATACGTTGTCACAATGAACGCACATCCTAGCAGCGAAGCGCTCCCTCCTACTCTTTCTGCTATTGCGATAGCCCGAAGTTGCTCGTCGGTCAAGGACATTGGTGTATATCTAAATGCGACTCGACCTTGAGCCTTATACACTATTGTATGTTAAAAGAGGCTCCATGGCCATGTGGATGAGAAGAGCACGTGGTGGCGATATAGGTGAACCTTGGGAGTACGATCATTCGTCCGACATTGATGGACAAAGGAAAACGCTTGGCTGAATTATAAATGTACGGTCGACAACCTTGGAAAGACCCTCGTTTAATTCCCCGCATAAAGAACCTTGGAAGGTTCGAAATATGTAAGCGTCATGCACCCCACTAGAAGTTAAGGAAAAATAGCGAATTACTTTGATAGGGAACATGTGTTCGAGTTTCTAGGTATCTTGTAGTTGTTCAGTGCCAACTTACTTATTTTTTTAAAACTTACTATTTGTTTTTATAACACATAAGGTGATTATTCGGGGGTATCTGTCATTCTGGGGTGCAAAAGAAAAGGTCAAAGACTAACGCGCCCAAGGAAAGCAAAAACAGCAAACGCATTTCAGCTTTTATTCCTCTGTCTCCCTCTCCTTCTTGCGGCGTTGTCGGTCTCTTTCCATCTTCTTGAACAGCGGGTGATGTCCAGCCTTATCCTTGAGCTGTTTGTTCCGGCTCTTGTTGTACTCGATATAGGCCATATCATCGCCACCAGCCAAACCACTAAGAGTGGCAGCACTGCGTTTAGCACCTCCTTTCTTAGCCGTCACTCTCTTTCCAGAGCGCATTGAGAACAAATCATCATTGACCTGTTCGACATCGGCGGATGACTCATTCTGCAGCATGACTTCTTGCAGAAGTTCGCGACGTTCTGCTGGAGTCGCATACGAAAGTCCTTCGTAATTGTCTATGCCTTGCAGATGAGTGATTACCTTGAAAGCATAACCCTGATCAATCAGGAATGCCTGGCGTTTGGCGGAGTAGACCATCTCATTAGTGTCCTTAGACACGAGTGAGTAGAAGAAAGCATTGAAGCCCTCGTCGTTACGACGCTTGGCTCGCAGGATTCGTCCCAGGCGCTGAGCCTCCTGACGACGCGAACCGTAGTGAGACGAGATCTGGATCAGACAAGTGGCCTCGGGTAGATCGAGTGAGGTATCACCAATCTTGGACAGGAAGATAGTGTTGACCTGCTCGTTGTGTTGGAAATTTTCCAGGATACGCATGCGCTCATTTTGAGGAGTTCCACCGTAAATGTAAGCCTTGTTCAGCTTGAGCGCATATCGCTCGAGGGCATAGACATTGTCCGAGAACACGATGATCTTATCGCCGCGCTTCTCGTGGAAATCGATCAGGAACTGACACGCTTGGAACTTGCGAGGGTTCATGATGTATAGCAGGGCTTGTTTCCTGGAGCTCTCCCGCAGATACTCAGAGTAGAACTCAGTTGTCATTGGACACCATACCTCGGCACATTGGACCTTGGCAATGTGACCCTGTGCAGCCAGTTCCATCCAGTTTGCTTCGTAGAGCTTCGGTCCGATCAAGAAGTTCAAATCTTTGATCTTGTCATCCTCACGTAGCAATGTTGCAGTGAGACCCAGCTTGCTCTGTGCGGCGATTGCAGATGTGACCTTTCGGAACATCGATGCTGGCACGACGTGCACCTCGTCAAGAATCATCATACCCCATTCTCTCGATTGAAGCCAGTCCATCATCTTCTGGGCATCGTAAGACCGGGCACGGGTCTGTGACACCATTGAGTATGTGGACACAATAATACCAGTTGACCGCTTGAATTTTTCTTTGTGATCCGACGTAAAAATAGCGATATCACCTGGGTCGATGGTTGTCCACCGCAAGAACTCGTTTCGCCACTGAACCACGGACATAGAACTGGTGCAGAGGACGATTGTGCCTTTCTTGATGGTCGCCGCGGCAGTGATACCCACAAGGGTTTTACCGGCGCCACAAGGAAGCACAATGATACCACTCTTGGCACGTCCGTTACCGAACATTTTACTTAAACTCTTCTCCTGGTAGGACCGAATCCGCGCCGCGGGTTTCAAATCCATATCCAGATTTGGATTGACTGTGTCTCCTTGGAAATCGTACTCTTCCAGGGCAGGACATCCGATCGATTGACAGCGGGCCTTGACCACCTCGACACCAGCAGCGGGAATTTCGAAACTGTACGTGATTGCTTCTTCAGTCTCATCCTCGCCAATGTCGTCGATGCCATAGTTCACGGCCCCTCCCTCTTCGGTCTCATCTCTAGCCACGGCAGCGGCAGCCTCCTGTTGAGTGGTCTCTCGTACACCAGCTGCGTCTTTCGTTCCAGGAATGACAAGACCACCCATTTTTGGAGCAGCCCGTTCAATAATTCCTTCAGTACTCTCCATTCGCTGGGGGCCAATCACTTCATCTTTCAGTAACCGCTGAAGCATTTCAGGATCTGTCGTTTCCACATAGTATCGATTATGCCTCAACACCATCTTGATTTTTCCATAAGACTTTGTGAACTCGATGATGAACGTCCGAATGCTTTCAGGGAGCGGTGTTTTTGACAGACGGTCCAAGAACTCAACGATATCCTGCGGTTTGAGACCGACCGAGACCGCCGCATATAAACTGTGTCCAGTCAAACGATATTCGTGGAGATGGGTCGGACGGGAGAGCGGTTCCGCGATGGTGGTCAGGAAATCTTGGGCCTGGGGTGCCAGCGGGGAGAAACTCTCGAGGGTGATTGTGCCTTTCAAGGGCTCGATCCATAACGGCCGGTTGTAGTGGTCGCGCTTCAGTGGGAGCGAAGAGAGATCTTTGTATCCAAATCTGGGGTCCGTCTTCTCCACTTGGTTCTTCTTGCTGAAAGCCTCGAGAGAGAACTTATTGACAACCGCTTTATGCTCCAATTTTAGTCTCTGGTTCGCTTTAGGTGAGCAGACTGCCACACTGTACCTTTCAAGTTGGATTCCTCCGGCAGCTCTTCCTGGTCCGAGTATTCATCGCCGCTAGAAATGTCGATATCGGGGACTGGTGTGGCCCGCTTTGAAGCACCGCTAGACCGACCGGCTGGATAAAATTAGTTACTTGTCGTTTGGAAATATGTACTAGAGGCTTACTGTCGGCCGCTTTGCGTTTGGGGGCATGTTTGCACTGTGTTCAGCAAGACAAACGAAACAGCGCGGAAAGTCAGATCAAATGGTATCTCAGTGAGTGAGTCACCGGTGAGGCGGAGCAACGCCCCCGTTTAAAGTATCTCACGCCAGCATGGAACCAAGATGCTGCGCCGGATGAACAGGCGGCGAAAAAAGATCGAGAGTTTATTGCGAAACGACGGGATAGGTGTCGGTGGGCGGTAGTCGTCAGAGAGGGAGGGAAAGCCTTCGGTGGAGGTTGGGACGTCGACTAGAGCGACAGTATGTATGAGAGAGGAAGATGATCGAGGCAACGGTCGTCCTTAATTCCCAGGCTCTAAAGATGATGCGCTGGTTGATAATCAGTGGCCTGAGGCACCAATTACAATCGTTGGCCCGTGCGCACCCGGTCGGGTCCGACCTCGGGACTCTCTCGGACTGACGTAGAGCATCCTTTTCTATTCTGTTTTACTTCACACATCTCACAACTACCACATTGTTCGCGATGAATACGGTAATTTCCTCTATCCAATGCCTCCTTAATGTTACTAATTGTGTCATCTCCTAGATTCGATCTACCTGGTGAGCGAAGATGTCTCTATATGAAAGATAAAATAGAAACAGAACATCAGTACTGATATGGCTTTCAATTAAACAGGATGGGCTGGGGCACCCTTTGCCTGGGTATGTGACCTATCGGTTGATTGCTGGCCAAGTACCAGTGACAAATCCAGCAATTCACAAGTGAAGAAGCGAACTAACCACACCCCCTATAGCCGGCGGCGGAGCTTACTATTTCGCGAAGCAATCGATCAACGCCGACCGACAAGCCCGATTCGAAGCTGAAGTCAAGCGCAAGGCGCAAATGAAGCAAATGGAGAACGAGCACAAGCGCCAAGCGCAATCAGCCTCCGCGCCAACCCCGGGCAACGATACTAGCTCGAAACGAGCGAGCATGGCCCGATTCCAGAACGCCTCCGATGATGCCGCCTCGCCAAGTGCCGAAGCTTCCCACGACCCGGCCCCTACCCGGCACGAACCCTTGACCGAGACTGACCGTGTGGTGGAGAAGGGGAAATATGAAACGGCACAGCCGTACCGACCTCCTAGTGGGAACCGGTTTAGTTGATCGGCTGGCGCGCCTTGTATACTATTTTGATACGGGATACTCCGTGTTCAAACTGAAAAATAGAGGATTGTGGAACAAGGTGGATAATCTGGAAGTGGGGAATTTCTCGCACTCGATCTACTTTGTACCACATTTAGTTCGTTGCACTCGAGCTCCAAGTCAGTTCAGTAATGGATTAATTCGCACAAATTTGGCTGTCTATCGATCCCTGCCATTCATAGCGATGAGGTCCAACATGTCTCCACTCCCTCCTTGTCACCATGTTCAATAGTAATAATGTATGTACTAGCACGATCCCATAGTGCTAGTATTAAAAAAGAGAGAACCAGAACGCCAATTCCAAACTCCTTGATCATAATGCATCATATCGCAATCCTGGCAACTGAGTCTTGTTCAGCGCCTGCACCGCCAGTCCCGCCAAAATTGCGTGTAGTCAAAGGTTGCGGCGACTAGCGCGCATGGAAGCAAAGTGGGGGGTTCCTGTATATCAGGTTAGTTTCTCCACACCAGCTCGCATTGACTGCAGACGCAAAACGCGGTAGATTTTTTAATACTTACTTGGCGCTAGTAGAGATGCCGGAGCTCCGTTGTCGCGAACTCTCCAGGGCAGGTGGGACAAACGGGAGTACCACGCCGGATACGATGCAACCCATGGCGACGGCGCGGGCAGCGCGAGAGTCTGGACGAGGACGGTGGGCTGAGAAGTGACGGATGGAAGGACGGGCGATTTGAGAAGCGAGGATGGAAGCCATAGTGGTAAGAATCCTTGAGGGTATGGTTTGATGATGATTTTGACTGTGATTTCAGAGTAGAGTTGCAAAGCAGGATAGGGTAGTGTAGAGCAGGGTATGAAGATAAAACTAAGATTTAAATTACCAGAGAGACTTTATAATAAAGAGAGGTTAGTAGCAGTCAGGCCATGCAATCGCGCAAGTGGCCCGGACATTGCGGGGCATCTGGTATATGGCCTGATCCTCGATGGGAATCCTCATCCGTGATCAGATGGTATATGGATCGGCACCGTTCCTTTCCCTTACGCCATGGCGGGGTTTCAAGTCACAAAATATGGGGATTTTTTTAGTGTTTACTCCGTATGTACCTGCCGAAAGGTGGGCTTGGACTTCACCGCGTCAACTGCGGGAATATGATATGGGTATAGACCGGGAACTCACTTCCGAACACTTTCACTTCTCTGTATTCAATGTTCCAAGGTTGGTAAACATAGGTACATAAATCGGTTCATAAAACACGTTCACGGGTAGTTAACTTTACGGGTACATGTATGTCTACGGCTATGCTACGGATATTGAACCACATACCCGATCCTGATAAGGCTTCTAGATCTGGACATCTTGTGGATGGATGTCAACACGTATGGGTTGGCTGCTACCTAGTTAACTAACTAGTTAACAGTATATACCCTACAATCTACCTAATAATTGCCTACATAACATATTAAAGAGGGGAACCCTCCAGGCTGTATGCTCTCTGGTATGCGGGTCACTATAGGAATCGGTTAGATTGAACCGAATGCGTTACTATATATAATCTTAATATATGAGTATCCTTTTTATCTCTACGGAGTTGATTACCAATTTCCCTTCACTCCACGATTTCACAATATCCATTTCAATGACGTGATCGACTCTTCTTTCAGTCCTTCGGCTTGTCTCGTCGACTGGACTAAAACAATAAATATATAAAAAAAAGATTATACCTAGGCATGGTTAAAACGTAAATCAGGCCAAAATCAGGCTTTCGGCATTAATCTAGTGAAACGAACCCTGGACTCTATACGGCCCCGGGGTACATAAATGATGACCTAAACACGTAGTAAATGCGCTAAATTACAACTTCATATCTTAATAACGGTAGCCAGTAACTATAAAGATTTGCCTATAGCTTAACGCTTCTTTGGGCAATATATTGTCTGTTTACAGGGGTTTAGGAATATATGTAACTGGGTGATTGAGAGATATATACGTAACTTTAAGGGTTTTCTAATGCAATTATCGGTAATATTTGACCAAGTTCTTGGAGGACCGCTACGGAGGGAAGGAGGGAAGAAAGAAAAGTATCTATACCCTGAATTTGACAAACAAGCGCCCAGTCTGCAGGCAAACAACGGGAGATGGGACCATCCCAACACATCCCCCCGACGAAGCATCAAAAGCACCAAGTTCAAGCCATCTAGCTTGCAAAAATTAAGTGATTTATAGTCAATCTAACTGCTCAAGTGATAAAATTGTTCGTCTTGCCTCGGCACTAGCAATGGCTTTCTGTCATACTGATAAGGTATCCCAGTCACTGAATCCAAAAGAACAAAGGAGCTTCGTCAGTCATAGTTTATAGTAGGGTATGTAGGTAGCAATGGATGTATAAAATTGCACGTTGCGGAGGGTAGTTGTAGTCCACGGATATTATGGAGATGCCTGCACTGCACTCTGCATAGTAAATTACATATTTAATACCCCTGTTCCTTGGCACTTGGTACACGAATGTCGACGGTGCACGGACCCTTTACGGAATAATTGTGGATCCAATATCGGATTATAATATATCCGGGGTGCTCACGTGCGATAAAAGCTTCGATAAGGAACATGCATGAGCCCGGGGAGACAGGCTGAGGAACTCTCTCTTTCTCTCTCTCAAAATATCGTGAGATCTTGAGATTGTGAGGCTAACCACAATGGCGACCAATGTGGTTATTTTAAAGGCTACGTTTGAAGCTTGCCTTCTATGTCCAGATCCTACTTCGGTTCCAAAGGATGAGATAAGCGCCTTCCACACTTTGCTCGAGCGCGCTTTGTCGCACTGCTCCCAAGCCAACATACAGGTTTGAGCCGCTGTCACCTCTGTTTACTCTCACATGCCACCTTACTAACTAGCTCTTTCCCCCTATAGACCTGTAAAGCCTGGTTGGTTCGCTTTGTTGCATTTTCATCTAGTCGGGTACGGGGTCTGGCCAATTATCTGGATGCTCTTGCGGCGTCCTCCCCACCACCCCAGCCCGCTGGATCCAAAATATCAGCAAAACGCCAACGCCTCCATATCCTCTACTTGATCAATGATCTGTTACATCATTGCAAGTACCACATGGACGCCCCGGCAACCTTCTCCGCAGTGACCGGGTCCCTGCAGCTGCATATCGTGCAGTTGGTCAGCCACGCAGCAAACTGTGATCGCCAGAAGAACCCACGGCATCATCGACGGCTAGATGATCTCCTAGATATTTGGGCTGAGCACGAATACTTCCACCCCGAGTTGGTCGCCAAGCTTCGACAAGTCGTGACTATAGGGGTCCCCGTGGATTTCAACAATGCGACCAACGAGCTCAACTCAGCCAAGAAGTCAGGCAAAAATGTGCCCTATATCATGCCATTTACACATGGACACCCATCAAGGATATGGGGGGATGTTCGTGCGGGCAACATTTATCCTCACCTTATGCCCGACTCGACTAGTCCAATCCGAGGTGGTACTACCATGAAACCGATACAATTACTAGCAGGTCCTGCCGACGCAAAGTTAGTGGAACACCTCAAAGCTTTTTTCAGTGATGTGGGCAAGAACTTCGACCCGGAAGTCTCTGGGCATGATAAACATGCAGACGTCGATCGGCTGGGCCAGGAAGTGATCCGGGGTGAGAATACTGGCGATATCCTCGACGGCGAACACTATTACGGAGGGTCCCTTGAATTCTGCCAACCCGCCGACACAGACATCGAGAGCTTCCGTGACCGAAGTCGCAGTAGCAGTGTATCACGAACCAATAACAAGCGCCAACGCTACAGCGACAGCTCCATCAGTCAATCCGAGTCACGATCTCCAAGTGAATCACGACCATACCGACCTGGCTTCCGTCATGGGAATGACGCACGAGCAAGAAACCGTTCTCCACAGCACTCACACAGCCAGGAAAGCTCATCCACACCTCACGAATCATCCACTTCACACTTCCCGCCCCCTCACCAACCTCAACACCCCGCCGCACCCTACAGCTCCTTCCCCACTATCCATCCTTCCAATGGACAATATGCCCATCCTCCCATGGGTCCCAGCAATGGCTATCCCCAGGTACCTGCACCCAACTATGGTTCTTGGCCTCCCCCTCCCCCGCATATGCCAGCAATGCCCTTCCCCGTACCCGGACCCGGATCCTCCTCAGCCTTCCCTCCTCCGTACCACCACCACCCTTCTATGCCCCAGGGACAGGGACAGCGACAGGGGTACGGGATGCCACAGGGTCAACATCACTTCCCCCCTCCTTATTCCGGGGGTCGGGGTGGTGCGCCGCGGGGACCTCCCCAGGGCGGGCGCGGGTGGTAATCAAAATGTGCACACGAAATTATGTAAGAGTTACGCTTGAATGCTTGAAATACGATCGACTCAAATCGAGTCAATGGAAAGGCAGCCTTCCAATGCTGCGGTTGTATGATTACGGCCCCACCGCAGCGGGGCATTCATTGTTGATTTAAAGCACAATATGAAAGAGTACATTTGATTGTTGTTGCATTCGAGTAAGCACTTCACTGTTGATACTATCAACAGTAAGTATGAGAATAGGTACAACCCAGGAAACTTCGATAGGCTTTTTATTAATGGACTAGCAGAAGCAATCTACAAACATTTACAGCAGAGCCTAGCGAGGATGGAAAACAATATAGAAAATAACCGCGTATAGAAGCATGGCGTACGCAATTACACACCGTAATTTTCATGAGCCAAACTACCACAGGTCAAGTGTGCATATAATATCAAGTAGAAAAGAAAAATGAAACCAAGACTCGAGCACACAACCCTCAATTTGCACGTATACAACCCCAAAAAGTACATGCGGCACCCATCCCATGTCACATTGTTGCAGACCAGCTAGGCCGTTGAATTTAAGTGAGAACGTCCATGATCAAATCAGCCTGCGTCTCCGGCATATCCTTCATTTGGTTCGTATAGTAAGTCTTCTTAACCTCCGCGAAAGGTTTGCAGGAGTTGAAGCCGGGATCCTAGAAGAAAATAACAAGTCAGATACACTCTCTTCTCGGAAACATAAAAAAAGAAAAGAAAAGCAAGAGAAGATGCAACACATACATCATTTTTGCTATTGCAGCACATGGGAGAATAACCCTTCGCGTTGCATGTATCAGGAGCCTCTTTCTCTGCCATGTCCTTGCCTGTAAAGGTACATTGAATTAGTATACAATAATCAAGGCTCCCGATGTTATATTGAAGAAAGAATGGAGAAACATACACTTGAAAGATACAGCCGAGCTAACCTGCAGTCCGCTGATGACTGGGACTAACTCGCCGAGCCCCTTGACGATATCACCGCCCGCTTGCTGCACAGACATGCAGCAGGACTTGAACTTACCCTTGGGGCATGTGTAAGCCTCGTAGGGGTTGGGCGAGGGGGTAGCCGAAGCTGAGGCAGAGGCAGAGCTCGAGGGCGAGACGAGAGGCTTGGATACGGAGGATGTGGGAGTTGGGTTATCGTTTCCCACTGGGATGGCGGTAGTGACAGACAAGAGGGAGACAAGCCCCGTGAGGAAGGTTGTGACGTGCATTGTTGCTGAATTTTGTTGTTCGTATGTTGTGTAGGTGTAAAAATTACTGAGTGGATGTATAACCGCGGATGGCTATGAGACTTAGATATCCGAAATGAAGGTCAATGTTAAAGACGGTAAATTAAAGGAGTGTGTAATGGACTCTGGGATCGAGATCCAATTGAATGGCTGGAGCTGGGCCGGGTTGGTTGTCGCGAGGTTGTCGATGGGCGTGTCGGAGGGGAGGAAACAGGAACACGATGTTGACCTTCAATGTATGCGGTGTTCGGATTGTTTGGGGGGCCAACGGGCCTCAACAGGCCTATCGAAATTTCTTCTGCCTTCCTCCCTTGGGGGCTTTTGGTTGGCTAGTGGTCGAGTCCCAGAATTCCAAGGGTTTCACCCCTCTGTTTGGAAAGGTACGGTATGGTCTTGATTCGCTGCTGAGTTGAACCATGTGGAATGTGTACTCTCGGTAATAGTTTCTACTGGCCCCTCTGGACCCTTTCGGTCTGGTATGTGGGCTTCGGTGCTGATCTTGTCTGTTGTTTATCTATGCTCGAATTTGGATATGTATGTATTTTGGGCGATATAAAGTAGAGTCAATTGGAACATACAACAATGTAATAGTTATAGTCACATTAATAATCTCATGCTCCTTTAAACCACCTCATGCTCAATAAATTATATAACTCGTTGGGAAGACAAGTTCTCTACGAGTGTATTGGATTCCCCTTCGGAGGTATGCAAGGGATGCCTCAAGCACGCAGCTCTTCACTAGACCGCGGCAAGATTCCAAGTTAAGACTAATGCGTTCTTCGTGAAAGCCAGCGACTTAAGAAGCAATTATTCAAAGAGTTCTATCTATGAACCAGGACAGCAAAATAGTTGATTGTATACATATGTTGAAGATGTCCTTTTGAACAAAAAAGAGGACTTTGCTCCTAATTAGTAAGACTGAACATATATCCTAGTTAGTTTCAAACACGAAAATCCTCATAAGTCTGGGGTTAAAAAAAAATAAGCTTGAATTCGATCATCAAGTTTTGCCTACCAAAGATATATAACTACACAAACTCAAACAAATTTCATTTTATTCGCTTCTCTAATCGCCATACCAACAGAAATTCCCATTTGAGTCAGACAATCACATTGCGCACACGTCTTTTTTAGTCTCATTCTCACCTAAACAAATACATATCTGAAACATCGGCATCGCCGATCAAAGCGGCCCCGGGCCGCCGGGAGGACTGATCGACCCGGCCTATCTGACCATTTGCGCTTACAACGGACCTAGATAGAGCTAGCTAATCTAAGCTTTCTAGCTCTATGCAGTCGATCTATGCAGTCGATACTCGAGAGAAACCTCCAAAACATACTCGAAACACTACTTCAGAGACAATCCTAAAGCCGACACCAACTCCCAACTCCAATATCAACCTTTGGTCGCCGTCCCGGAGGCTACTCAAGTCTACTCTCTACAGGGTTTACACCGGATTATCTATCCTAATGGTTAATCATCCGATGCCCGTGTTGTCCTAGCGTTCCGGTCAGAGCGCCACTAACATCGTGACGGCTGACTAGTCCTTCGACGCCACTGATGTATGAGAACGAGAAATATTACCATATTAGGTAGGAGATCTTCCACTTCGATCTTAGCTCTTGCTATTTGTTTAGATTTCGTATTTGGTTTTTTTCTTACAGCTTTAGTATATTATATATACTATTCACAGATTTATTTTGCCTGGTCTCCACCGCCAACAGTACAAGCACCGAATATATATTTAACAAAAAGTTGGAAAATATACCGAAAAAATCCCGAAGAAAGTTGAAAAATTAAGCTAAGAAGCCGCCAGGGCCATATATTTTAGTACAAACCACAATGATTTGCTACGCTGACGTCAATTTGTCTCAGAGTAGCATAAGCCTTGTTTCAGCCACTAACTCAATATCGAGGCACATTTCATAAAGGGGATAAACGTACCGATGAAGCCATCTCTACTACGTAACTAACAGCCATTAAGGAAATAAGAAAATAAACATATATAAGTAGAAGATTGCTCCGGGTTGATTGTGCATAGTTGTATTGGTCATCAATGGCCAACAGGGCGATGTGGTATCGTAACAGGGTATAGTTCTCTGAGGGACAGTCCAGTGTCCTCGACTCGAAGAAGAGTTGGTTCATCACATAGGAGAAGAATGAAAAGAAGAGTAAAAGCACAAATCGCTGGAAAGAAGTACAAACACAGATAATATACAGGCCAGTATTCCTTCACAGAAGGAATACCAAGCAGAACAGACGAGTCGATCGCTTACCCCAGACCCCGGGAAGAGTGGATAGTGTTCAAGAAATGTTCGAAATGGAAATGAACTATCGTTTGTAAACTGCCCTCCAGTCCCACGAACACCCCCAAACGGTCATAGACGACAATGATGAAAAGCAAAAGTCATGTATTTCCTGACAAGGGATGCAGAAGGATGGAAGCGGCGATTCACGACCAAGAGGTCTGGAGTGGCGGAATACGCGATGCATAATCCAGCACTGAACGGGGAAAGGATGCCGAGGATCCATTGATATCCCAAAAATGCTATGCAAAAGTAAAAAGTGGGTAGAAAAGGGGCTGGGGAAAGTAAAGGACCATATTGTAGTTGACCCCAGGCCATATAGAAATCAAACTCCAAAAAAAAAAACATTCAATATATCGCTTGAAAGGCAGGCACGCTCTCCTGCGCGAATCTCATAAAACTCCGCAGAAATTCTGCATCTGGGTAGGCATTGACGGAAAGTGTACGTGGCTGTTGATGATCCCATGGGACCATCAACGGCTCGCCAATGCTAGGTATCGTTAGGATGCTAGATCACCGCATTGGTGGAACAGAATCGCTGAAAGTACTTTCGTTAGCTTCCTTATACATTGAAACTATCAAATGAAAGAAAATGCATACCTTGATACAGGGCACAGCCTCAATATCCAGCAAACTCAGCCTCAAGCCATATCGCGGCCACTGACCTTAGTCTCGGCAAGTTGAGGGGTATTGCTGACAGGTGTGAAGGATTCAGTGGTCTGCCGGGATATATTGCTGCCACTGGAAGCGATGCTACGACCACTCTTCCCGCTGCTCTGGCTATCACGACGGGAGTCGTCTGTATCCACGAAGGAAGACATTTGGCGCTGGGTGTATTGTAGCATGGAGCGATTGTAGTCTTCCAGCGAGGCGCGAGAGGGATCCAGCGACCGGTAAGAATTGACCAGGGCCTCATTGGACATGGTATCCACGTTATCAGAGCCTGTGAACATGGTGTGGATATTTTCGGTTGCTTGCTGTATTTGGGTGGGTTGACTCATGGTGGAAGGAAATGTGTCTTCAAGGTGAAACGGTCAGTTTAAGTTTCAGGGCAAGGTAGGTATCAGACAGCTGCAGAAGTGTGGAAAAAAAAAGTTGAGCAATAGTATTGTTGTGGGTGGTTGTGACAGGGATGAGGCTGACATCAGTACGACGATCACCGTGGGGTGGAGGTTGGGCTGTGGGTGCCGTGGGGAAACAAGATGGTACTGGTTTCCCAGTCAATTCAACAGTTAACTCACCTGTGATATTGAAATATTTCAAGATCTAACCAATTAGGCCCGTTATGTTGGATAGTAAAGGTACTGAGAGTCGTGGGTAGACAAGACGATGTGTAAATCAGTGGAAATCCAAGTGTATGTATATTTCGGGCTAAGGATATAAAATGGGCAGAGGAAAGTGTTATGGGGCAGGATTCAGGAGTTAGGGCACATATACGAAGAACTGGATCCAATTTGGGAGCAAGGTTAATATATAAGACACGCGTGGCTCCACATGAGGACTGAAATCACATCGGGTGGTCGAAGATGGCAAACGCACCCGCCTCTGATAGGTCAATAAGTTGCCTAATTTCTCTTCCGCCCATGGTAAATACAAGAGATCTCTACCGATTACACCGAGGGGAGTACGGTGACATAATTGGCCGAAAGGGGGGCGGGAGGAGGGGGGAGGGTATTTTCTCCTAGGCGACATCATAAGAAGCATCATAAACCCCAGCCTTTAGTATTTGTACAAAGTAGGTAAGTGAATACCGTCGACCTATTGGGTATGTCGTATAGCATAATGTGGGGTCAAATCATCATCACAGGACGTTATGAACTAACTAATATCCACATGTGCACGGAGACTGGTGAACTTCCGGGAGCGATATCATCAGTCGTTCCACCCATGGATTGGTCACAGTGCTTCGATGAGGTCACTGGGGAATGTGAATGACCATTGAGAGCCGAAGGCGTTTTGAGATCGGCACAATTACAGTCCGGTCCCCTGCAGATCTTTACCTGACGTTTACAGGACGAATCATAATTGAATTATCATGGCCTTTGAGGGGCGAGGCCCATGTCGCATTCTGTATCGATACGAGATAGGGTGTCCTTTGGAAGGAAAATGTGGGCATCACTAGTGGAGCCCCGGTAAAGGAGTGAGAAACATGCTGTTACAAAGCCGCAGATTGGGGTGTGGTTCTACTCCGTAGTGGGTAGTAAGATGCTTGGATACATCGATTGATTCACACTAAACCAATAGTCGGCTTGGCATGCCCATCAGAATCAATGTAATCCGTGTGGCCGAAAGCAGTAAATGCGCCTGCACAAGAAATTGGTAGTGCAGTAGCTGAGGCTCATGTTGGAGCTATGCCGTCATACCCCGAGGCACCGGGGCGATCCGAGCAATCGATTTGATTTTGGGCTTCGGCCGGCCATCAGATACCGATAATCGCCGGTCATAGAAATGGCAAACGAAATTAGAGTATCAGAGTCACCCGAGACAGACTTGGTTATCAAAAGTGGAACGTTCTTCTGCGGAAGGTGAGCTTGAAGCCGAAACAGTTTGGTACATCGTATCAAAGGCATGGAGGTTTTCAGCCACAGTGGAGACACAGTTTGCAGCAGATGAAGGTTTAATTGAAATTTTGACTGCTTTCATTCGCCGAATTATCAGAAATGAACGCAATAGGAAGAAATGGAGACGCTGTGGAGATGAACTAGTGATTTCCTTGGGGGAATGTACCAATCTTGGCATTGATGCCTGAGGCAGAACGACACCTGACGTCAGTGAGCCCTCATCTTTAGATGTTACTTAGGTAGTTAACTAAGTTAGGTATGTAGTGACTACATTGTATATTAACCTCACGCTATTCTATATTGGAAATAGTGATAAATACATCGGGTTCCCCACAGAAGAATCCCAGATACGGTACCAGAATCAGGAAATCCTATTGTCTATAGACTCTGACGCTCTCCAATGGTCGTAACCAAACTTGTGTTACGATATGGAATATTGGGGTAGTTCCACCATATTGGAGCCCATACTTGTTCCTATAAGAAAACTAAATCGACCAGAACGATCGATAAGATACATGGGCCAGTGACAGGGGTGTTCGCATCGAAGGAAGCATAGAGGTGGGACGGAGTTATGTATTTGCCATCCATGAACCCTGGACGAAACTTGATGCCAGTGGGGAGAGGCAAATTGTTGCAGGATCGGCACGGCACCGAACATATCAGAGTCATTATCACAACTTGCCTCTTCGATACTGTAGTTGTACATTTTGCTCAATTTGAAGAGGCCAACAGGATTGGGTGGCATACCAGCGCAAGCCGGAGTTTATATCCAGCATATAGGATCCCCTTTGCCCCGAGGGATGTTTCATGTAGGGGCCACCCAGCAACGCCAGAGCGGTTTGGATTACTCTCTATATTGTCATTTACAGACATGATCAGCCATCTAACTTTTCAGGCCCGGCGACCTAATTTTGAAGAGGAACCAGTCTAATCCAGCTGGCACCGGTCTAGACCAAAGTCGGTGATATGGTGGGCTTATAATACCACAAATATGCAGACTAGAAAGATATCTTCTCATCAAGTTAGCGGAGGGAGAATAATACTCATGTGATATCAAAGTTGACTGGAACTCTACGCGATGTCGTCAGTAGAAAGAAACTTGTGGAGTACAGTACATGTTTTAGCCCCCTTTACAACATAGTCTGATAGAGTCCGAACCATACCACTGCTCCACCTCAAGGGCCCGATCCCAGACATGACAGCATACAAGTTGTGTCAACATCCGAACATGTCAAAAACAAGCGTGTAAGACATGCTCCGTAATCCGTACATATTACCGAAATGTCAACTTGCGGGTCTTTCTCTGCCTATTAAGTGTCAATGAATGAGTATTCACGGTCCACTTTCTTCATTATCCCATTCCATGTCGTGCCTGGTCTGAAGGCCTGAGCCACATACGAACCCACAAGTCACTAGACTGCCCAAATCAAATACAGTACTTTATACATACTTTTCATGTTGTATGTCTTAGTGCACGCCGATCAATTGAAACAGTAGATACCCGAGATTGACAATTCCTAGCGCGTATCAAATGATATCACACCGCAGCCTCTGACGGCGATCCTTACGATGTATTGTAAGCCAAAGGAGCACGAAGGCATACTATGTATGTACCTATGTTGCACATCGTAGTGAGCATATGATATCACTGGAAGCAATTTAACTGCACGGAGCCGATTGTTACCGGCATCGCTTCACGTCATAGGTCTTTGCCCTGGATGTCCATCGGCAGCCTATCTCCACACATTCGTTATTGCATGTTTATGATTTGGCTGCACGCTCTTGTATATTGCGGGCCAGGATGAGAAGCCCAAAAACTTGTTTTGGATAGGGTATCGGCCTCGATAGTATTATGTACAACCTTGCCCCTTAGCTGGACAGCACTCAACGCGCTAGCATTCATGAATGCATCTGGACTTGTGTTTACCATATTTCCTAACATCATATATGGAGAAGATAACGTCTAACTGACGTACGAAACCGGTTCGAAGCCAATCAGTATGATCTGTATGTGAGCTTTCGCCTCTGCTCTGCGCTCTGGTCGCAAATATATGCCGTAAGTCATTCCACATACTCTATTTCACATACTAACTGGAGGATTTCCTTCACTCAAAAACAGGTTCCATCACTCCGAGCATTCAGTACCCGGTTCCCCGGCTGCACGGTCATCCCGGATGGTAGGTGCCGGGAGGCGCGAAGCATGAGAACGGGCCCAGCGGACTTTTTCAGCGGTCTCGACTCATCAACAGCCCATCTAGGCTCCCCGATGGAAACCTTCGTTCGAACATAAACCGGTTCTACCTCTGCGAATATACAACATGCAGCAACGATTGCCCTCGTCTCCCCAGCTGCGCTATGGTTCAGTGCTTATTGATGATCAGCGACAGCGGACCTGATCTCCTATTTGCAGACCTTCCTTCGACGGAATCCGGTTATACCCCTGTGGCCATGGAGTAGAGAGCTCGAGGCGTACAGCATATACTATTGAGTATCTCGAACATGGAGCACAGAGCTGGGGGGGGTACATCATACACCATCGGACATCTCAAGCATGCAGTTCCTCGGTGTGTTTTGATCCTGCTGTGTCAATCGATCTTCCCTTGGTGAGTTGTAAGCCTCCTACCTAGTACAATGCCGTAGAAGCTCAGCCTGAGCCCAAGTTGCTTTAAATACCAAATATTCACTTCAACTGCTCATCTTTGGAATGCCATACGATCAACAGCGACTTCGACTCAAGGCCAACTACTATACCGAATACATTTCCCAATTAGTCCAGACAGATAAGAACATCATAGATTTTGAACAGAAATAACTAGGCCAACACGCCAATATGGAAGGTAGTAAAATGCATCATATTATTGTTCATGCTCATGCTCACATCACACGTAACCTGTTTCAAAAGAATGTTATTAAACATCCACCAAATATGATAGACAACAGCGGCAAAATAGTCCAGACATGACCATGCCTTGCGCCTATATCCAACCTTCAAACGCGGGGGCAAAAATGAACATACCTTTCCGGGCACCTTGGAAGAAGAAGCGCACAACAAAGACCTGCAACGCAGCCATGGAAACCATCATCAAAGACTCGATCACACTGAAGTTGAAAATCCGACGCTCGGTACTCCGCACGGTACTGAAGTTACGGTTCTCACGTGTACGGAAGTACTTCTGGTTGCGGGAGACGGTGGAGAGTTGTGCAGAGAGCTTGTAGATGGACTCCTCCAGACTGGAGGTTTGTTCGGGGCTAGCGCCCTGGCGGGAGGGAAGCTGGGCGCGCTGTTCGTTCTCGACCTGTATGTTACAATGGCTCAATTAGCGTTTGTTCACTGCTTCTTTGAGTCGACGGATATGGAACGGATATGTGAAACGTACGGCGATCTCGAAGTCGACCATCTTCTCGGCGAAGGTGGACATCTCATTGTTGAAGCAGAAGGT